AAACCATTTCAGGTGACTACCTCTTGAAGCTCATGGAGAGAATGCCAAGAGTGTGCAAAGCAGTAATCAGAGCAAAGGGTGGCTATTTTGAAGAAACTAGAATATAAAACATGTTTTCAGTTATTTCACCTTTTTTTGTTAAGTACATAACTCCACATGTGTTCATTCATAGTTTTGATGCCTTCAGTGAGAATCTACAATGTAAATAGTCATGAAAATAAAGAAAACGCATTGAATGAGAAGGTGTGTCCAAACTTTTGGCCTGTACTGTGTATATATATATATATATATATACACACACACACACACATTTATTCTGTATTCTGTATTAAAGGGTGCCGACCCGTCACATGCTCTGTCAGGTGACCTGACCTAGTCGGTATTTGATTGGTGTGTCTCTGCATTGTATGTTGTCGGATGAAGTACATGAAGCTCGAAACATCACACCAGTGGTTATTCAATTAAATATTTATGGAAGCTTAGGCTCGTGCATGGAAATAAAACTGACAAATGCCAGTGTCTGGTCTTGAAAGTGCTGTTTTTAGTATAATAGACAGTCCAAAAGTATGCACAGTAACAATCTGTGTAAAATAATGTATACCTTGATTTCAGAATCAGACAAAGCCTTTTCTTCTCTCATCCCAACATCCTCAAACTCCTGACTGGATGAGCTTGTATCCTCGCCGTCATCCTCTTCTTCACTCTGCTGTCTTCTCTCCATCTCACACTCCAAGGGATTTCCACTGCAAAGAAGCAAAGAGCTAGTATCAGCAAAGTGCTAAACATATCTGAACATCATTGGCATTATCATAAAACATCTTATTACAGATTTTAAAAAAGTTAGTTACCTGCTACTGTAGTCCAACGTAGCACTGGAGGAGTCATTTCTTTGGGGGAATAACAATTGTGATATTGAAGAAGAAGAGGAGATTGGAGAGGAAACATGACTGGAAGTGCTGGGGCTGGCAGAAGATCCTCTACTGTCAACCTTTTTAGAAAGGAAAGCCAGGGGGCTTGAGAGGAAACAGGACGCAAGCACTGAGAGGGAAGTGCTGGGAGAAAGAGCAAGACTAGGACACAGGCGTAGGGTGGCTCTGTCATATGGGAGGGATCTTCTGGATGGGTACACCTCCTTACGAAGGCAGAGAGGAGCAATCTCCCTCTCCACCTCCACACTGCAGACTGTGTGTCGACGAGCACGGCGCAGGGATTTGTGGGCATGGTGGGCAGAGGGAGTGTGGGAGGACTGGTGCAGGTGTGGTGTGTGAGTCCTGCTGTGATGAGGTGAATGCAAAGTAGGAGTCCAGGGCATGTCATGGTGACGGAGGGAGGGGATCTCTGGGCAAGAGTAGCTGCGCAACAGGCACCTTGACGAGCCATTTTCTGCTGACTGTGAACTTGCTGTAGCCAAGTCTGCATCATCCATTGTGACGGTGTTTGTCGCCTCTTCATCTTTACATGTCCTACCATGCAAAACCCTGCATTTCCTCCTTTGGTTATCTGCTCTCCTTGGCCTAATGTTAGCCCTTCGTGCACTAGACCTTAGCCTGGAGACACTGCTGCTGTTGTGGTGACTGGCTTCAGCATCAGTGGAAAATACCTCATCTGACACAGAAGTAGCACTCAATTCTTTCCCATCTATGATATGCTTAATTTCATGATCTAATTGTACATAACAGTCTAATTTAGGTTTGGAGGGTGAAGGAGCAGGTTGCTGATTACTTTCAAAAGGTGTCATTTCAAAATATACAGGGTCCATTGAGAGTTTACCTTTGCCTTCTCTCGGCTTGTTTTCTTTGGTTATCAAATGGAGGTTATCCATACATTGTTTTGTCTCTTCGCTCGCTCCTGACGCAGATGATTTAACAGCACCTCTAATACTCTTCCTGGGTCTCTTGAACGGCTGGTTCACTTCCTTTTTCGGGCTGTCCTCTTTTTGAACATGCTCAGAGGTATTAAAATCTGTGGACGTGAGTTCTAGTGGCTCTGTTGATAGTGCTGGTGAGGTAGAAACCAGAATGCTGTCCGATTCTGGACTTGAACTCACTTGGTTTGGCGATTTCCGTTTCCGTGGCTTTGTGTTGATATTCTTCTGCTTGCTTGTGCTTGGGAGCTGCTTTATATGAGGACGGACAAGGACTTCTGATAACGGTGCCTTCTCGGCTTGTTCTGTGGACGTGATTGCCACGGTGGTTTCCAGATCCATACTGTTATCCTTGTTTACATCAGGTGCATCAAGACCTGTTCTTGTCTTTAGCCTTTTGCATGAAGCACCAGGCTTCATCTTGCTGCTGCTGTTCTTTTGTTTGTCCTTTGAAATCCCACTGCTTTTATCCAATGAGCAAACCAACATCGCATCAGAGGAACTTTCGCTCCGTGTGTTCAGCACTGTTTCATTTATTGTAGCGAGCATTTCTTGTTGAACGTTTTCTCTCTTATTTGCTCTTGTTGAAACAGGCTGTCTTTTTGGAGGTGGCTTCAGCATTTCTTCCTTATGGACGATGGTATTTGTCAACACGTCTTTTATTGGTGGACTCAATATGCCACTATCTGAGGCCACATTTAATAGTGCTTGTGTTTTTGGATCCTTTGTACATTTGTCTGCTGTCAGTCTCTTCCTCTTTACAAAGTCTTGGGAATGACAGTCCAGTTTCAGCCCCCTCTTTGCTCTCCCGACACCTGCAGCTAAATAAGTTTCAGGGTTTAAGTGACACTCCAGCTGCTGAGTATCCAAAGTAGGCTTCAGTGTCCTTCCATTAGTACTGGTATTTAAGTTATTCTTGTGGCTCCTGCGAACCAAAGTTTTCTGAGTGACTTTTTTCCTGCTATCACCATCATTAGGCTGAGGACAGTCGGTGTCAGGCTGAGCATAACAGACTGAGGAAGATAATGACTGTGTTTTGTCAGTGTCACTTGAATGAGCTTTGTTTGATTTGGCTGAATTCATGAGAGAAACCTGCTCATCATTAACCTCAGGATCAGACTCTTCCTTTTTGACTTTAGATGAAACTTTCTTTACTCCAGATCGATTTCCTGTATATTTCCTTGGCAGTGGTTTCAGCTGAACAAATGGTCTGCCTTTCTGGTCCTCCGTAGCACCGGAAATCATTAACTTTGATTCAAGTGAGGCACTTACAGTGACAGAAGGCTGTAACAGCATAGAGGACCTAAGGACAGACCCAACGGATTCTGAAACTTCCTCAGAAACAGTGCAGGGTAAGGGACTGTGATGCAAAGGCACAGAATCAGGTGAGTGTTTTCCCTTCTGACTTATTGCACATTCATCTGCCCATTCAGAGCTGTGTGTTGGCAACTCCACATCAAATGATAACTTTTTTGAATATCTAAGAGCAACAGTTTTTGCATTTTGTGCACCTTCTACTTCACTGAGCCTCTGCTGCTTTGCTTCAGTGTCCTGATTCTCATTCTCACTTTGTGCTTCTGGATGAAACATATCGCCTGGCTCTGAGTGTTCAACATCAGACATTCCATCGGCCTGTGGCTCACACTCATCAGGTCTGTCTGGACGGTCCATGAATGGTGGGGGGCTATTTGCTCTGAAGAGTTTAACAGGACTCATGACTATCTCTGTGAAACTGGCCATCTTCGATCTGAGTGACTGAAACAAGGGGCCGATCACCCATCCCTTCGGGGCAGATGCATTTTCAACAGAGGGTCCAACAGCTAATCTGCCCATGTCAGATGTGGTTGTGTCAAGATTCTGCGTGGTATCGACAGCAATCTGCCCCACTACATTCTCTGCAGCAGAGACATTTGGTTTCTTCTGTGGTTTTTTCTGGTCCTTTTGCCTATAACAAAAAGAGAAATTAGGCTCTTAAAGCACAGGCAGAAAACAGTGTCATTATTTTCTTGTGAGATCATCTATGCATGGTGTCAATACAAGATCTTTTATCTGGCATCCTAACAACCCTCTAATTCTCGGTTTGTGAAAACATGCAAACATCTATGCCCCCTTTACACTGGCTTGGTATTGTAGGTCATATGTAAAACTACAGGAACCATGCCTGCATCACAAACACAACTGTTCTTTTAATACAGTTTCATAAACACCATATAAACTGTTGTTTTGTTGTTGTTTTTTTAATCTTTTGGAATATTACCATTAAAATTTGCAAATACCTAGAAAGAATGTTTGGGTGAACAGTTTTTTCAGATGAATAAAAATGATTATTATGCATACACATGCTGACAAAAATTACACTTACTTATTTTGGCGCTTTGCTGCAAAACTAATATCAATTCCATCCTGCAAAATAAACATATAAACAGTTGCTTAAATTAAATTAAACAAAGCACTGTGCGTTCACAATCACATACCTAAACTACAATTTGTGTCAATTTAACTAATTCCTTTCTTGCAAAAATTGGAATTTATCTGCACTAGCTTCAGATCTGAGAAAAGTTTGGGGAGTTTTGTACGCATAATGTGTCGTTTGTCATTTGTGTTGATTCTGAAACACTGGTACTGGTTTAGCTCTACAATTTTGCACGACAAGGGAGAGACAATGAAGACACATTGCACTTTGTAAACTATCACATTTATGTATTGCTGGGTCACATTAAGGCGCTCGATTGCTTGTCTGTGTCGGATGCAGCAGACCGTGAAGGAGGATTAAATCACTCAATTAACCCTCACGCCCGTTCACTGTACAGGTCTCCAGTGTTGACATACACAGCCATACAGTACAACTGCTGCACAAACAGATTAGACTCTGAAAGCTTCATCACATGAATAATACCATCAAGGGCATGCAGATGGACTGAAAGACAGTGATTGAGAGACCAAAAAAGACAAACAGCAGGTTGAGGGTGAGAACATCTAGAGTGAAGAAAAATGTAACTGACCTTATTCTGTTTCTCATGCACATGTGTGCCTTGAGCTCTTTGCTGCTTGGACTGCGACAACCGTACCTACAAATCAAAAGGGATATATGAGCAGTGACTCATTTGTTTATTGAAGAGTATCTGAACAAGATTTTTTTAAGCTTAACTCATACCATGTTTGCACTCTCCCTTTGTCTCTTGGTGGGGGACGGATTCTGTCTGGACTGTCTCGGAGCTGCTGCACTGACTGTATTGCTCTGCTTTTTAGGAGTTTGTGCTCTGATCTCTTGAATGCGGCCACTCCTTCTGTGCCCAGATATTCCATCTTTTGCATGGCTGTGAAGATTAAAAAATTAATATGCAGCATTTTTGTTTCAAATACAGCAAGAAAGAAAAAACAGCACTGTGGGTCTTAAAGATACATGATGCATCAGTATCTGTATTAGGGATGTCCCGTGTTGTTGTTTTTTAGCTCTTTCATTTACTAATGGACGTCTGCCGATACACTAATGAAGATTAAGTTTGTATCTAACATATTTTAAAAAACTAACGTGGTCTTCTAAATTGGCACACCTTATTCTTTCCAAGCTACAAGATCCAAATAGTGAAGGTGAGTCAAAGCCTGAATCAAAGCCATAAAGTTGATGAGTTTAAATTATTGAACTCACATGGATGAAAGTTTAACTGGAGGACCACTAATTCTGAAACTGATGTGAAGCAATCAGGTAGACAGAGGACGTATGACTTAATTGGATTTCTTGAGATAACAGAAATACTCAATCCAACAGCGGTTGCACGGTTACAGAGTGACGCTTCTTCTACCTCCTAAACATCGTTTGGATGAGTACAGACAGCGGCTGCAGAGAGCACATAAACCAGACGACAGCCAAGTTTTATTTTGGTCTGCCATCAAGTTACAAGCAGAATTAATGTTAAGCAGTGACAGCAGATATGACCTGCCGCCACTTGTCACTTTAGCCGACGAAAGCGATGGTCAGTCCTGGCTAAAAATGAGAAGCTGCTAGCTAAATGTTTTGTACACTGCTCTTTGCTAGTAAAAGAGAAGAGATTAGTTACCATCACAGCTTACTGAATCTGTGTATTTTGCCAACCTGGGTGTCAGAACAGAGTCGCTTCCAAGTAAAACCAAATAATCTTTTCACATTCACATGCTGTAATTTTCATTTGGATATGCAGTCAAATGCTGCACTGCAGAGCTTGGCTTTTATTAGGCAAGCTGAGGTGGACAAAAAGCTCAGTTCAGTCAGTAAAAAGAGGATTGGATTTTGCTTAGCTTTATTTTAGCTGATGCTGATGCTTTTGGATCGGCTCGGGACATCCCTAATCTGTATAAGTATTAGCAGCAAAACTGTTTAAAAATACACCCTCACTGGAACCAACAATGATCCTCTGACAAACACATATTAGTGCAAAAATATCAATTATAAATATGATAATTAAAAATTTTGATACCCTGATCTGCTTAAATGTGATCATCACTAGCCAACCAATCCAACATTCTGAGCATTTCTCATATGAGTTTTGTGCCGACTGCAGTGGAGAGATTCACTTAAACATTTACAATTATTTCTTTCCAGCTGAGGTGGGACCATCAACATCTACATTAACACTGTCAACAATCCACCTGCTGTTTCACCATGTTATTTAAGAATAATTGTTCAAGGCTCTCTGCATTTCAGGTGAGATAGTTTGTGTTGCTCATCTCCATTTGTGACTAAAGACACTTGAGAAAAATGTAGTCTTTTGTAACCAGGTGCTAACACCACTGTGTTTTGTAGACTTCTGTATCTGCACAATGCATAGCAGTACAGCAGATACATTCAAATTAAAAAATTAATCTTCTGATATCAGCACTGATGGAAATAATCATTTGTCGGATATTGGCTAAATTCCTATAGCTGTGTCTAAAAGTCTATAATTGTTCCATCCATAAAGGGAAAAGTGTGCCAAAAAGCAAGGAGGGGAAATTACACCTACAGCAAAAGAAAGCAAAAGGTGCCGGGACAACTATACCTGGGAGTGATGGAGGAAAAGGGGAGGAGAGGTGGTGAAGGTTCACTGTGGGGAGGTGCACTACAGAAACTGTTTGGGGGAATAGCATCTTCATCCATTGGACAAACTATCTGAGGGAGCGAGTCAGAGGGATAAGTCAACATCCCCTTGCTCTCTCTTTCTCTCCTTGTCTGTCCTTCTCTGTAAATAACAACGAGGGGAAAAAAACAAACATGCGGGGTATCATATCAGTATGAAAGTACTTCCAAATAGGTCTTAAAAATGAAGCATCACTTACTTTTGTGATCACTGGAATTAAAGTTTATTCTGAAATGACAAATAGTGACAATAGTTTTTAATATTTTCCTCACAGAAATTGAATATTTTTATCATCAATTGAAATAATAATAATCATTTCTCTCAAGTAATTACTTGGTATATAAAATGTCAGAAAACTGTGAGAAAATGGCCATCAGATTTTTTGAAAACCGAAAGTGACTTTTCAGTGTCTTGTTTTGTCCAAGCAACAATATTCAGGTTATCACACATAAAACAAAGTAAAAGCATCAAATCCTCCCAGTTGAGAGACTGGAATTAGGGAATTTTGGCACAATTACTTGAAAAATGAAAATGGAGAAAATAGTGTCCGATTAACTTTCTGTTCATCAACTAATTGTTTCAGCTTTAGCAACATCAACACAGAGAAATATAGATTAATCTAATGTAATGTGACAAAGGTTAGGGAAAAAAAGAAAATCACTAAGTAAAAGATTTAAATAAACATTTAACAAGTGGACAAGAGTAGGACAACAGCTGAGATGTATTTGTGAGGAGTATTCAATATGACTTTAACTTATTACAGTAGATTAACAGACACAGCCAACGTGGTCGAGAGGAACGTCTTTCATGTAGTCATTAAAAAGGTTGCAGTATCTTGTGAAAAGGATTTACACGCGATTCTCACGCAAAATTTAATTTTCCTTCATGGTATAAATACATTTATGGCAGGCCTACACGTATGGTTGAGGTTATAGGATTTCGTGCAAATATTGGTTTTAATCAGTAACGTTGCTTAAGATTGAAACGGCGATGTAAATCGAGGCACAACCTTTACAATCACCATCAATGCAGCTGTTAGGTTGAAGGAAAAAAAACACTCGTGTTTTGAATTTGAGTTCTCGGTCTTTGCCAGTCGTTGATACATTAACGTTAGTCCACTCACATCTACAGCCCGTTAACGAAAGGTAGGCTACATCTTGATTAATAACACTGCTACGTAAAAGGATAAAAATAAACCAGGTTTTAATGGCTAATTAAATAGAAATGCATTTCAGTCAACGTTTTCAGTCAAATGAAAGCGGCGGTTCGTTTACAGTGAGATGGGTCTAAATGCTGGAACGGACACTGTTTCATATTCAAACTTTTAAATGTGAGCAAACGAATGTCAACATTTGCCAACGTCAGCCAGTATCATACAACGCTTATCATAAAAAAAATAGTGTATGTTATACATTTTAGCTATGTCTGAGCAGAGCTTTGTTGTAACTCCGTCAACACTGCATGGTTTGGCTAACGCCGATATTCACCCAGTGTGTAATATACAGTTTCAGCACCGGGGAATAGCCGTAGCCGGGAGCTGTCATCTCCCCTAACGTTCAATGGGGTAACTGTTCATATTCTCGTTTCGTAGTTTAGCTGTATGCAGATGTACTGGCTAAATCACACTAAACACACTTACCAAAAACGTTTAGCTGAGCCGTAGGATAGTATTCCGACCTCACCGTAAACAAGGCATGCCGGACGGCGCCCTACAGCGACTGGCAAATGTATCCGTTTTTACAAATCCAACAACCAGACAGGCGGATTATCCAATCACAGCACGGGTTCTTTTTCCGCCCGGTTGGCTCGGTTGAAAACTGACCAATTAGAAAAGGTTTTGAGACGTCGTCGGTAGGTGGGCAGCCAATAGGAGAGCGGAAACAAATGGCTCATAGAATATGATCGTCTTCTTTTATGTCCTCGGGTGACCTAGTATCTTCAAAGAGAACTTAAGTGGAGGTGTTGAAATTACGGGTAATTTGACAACATGACAGTAACGTTACCCCAGTTACAATGGAGTTTTCGCCAGTGAAAATGTAAAGATCCGTCACACTGACACGATATACTACAAGTGCAGTTAAGCTAGAGTTAAATTTTGAAACACAATTTTATTGGAACCTCTGATATAAACAAAATATCTTATATTTACACATTCAACATTTTTTATATTCCATAAATCCTGGTTCTGAGCAAATTGTACTTATGATTTTTTTTTCTCATCATAAATTAATCTGCCAGTTCTTTTGTTGCTTAATAGTCTAGTCTACTATAATCTAGTCTAGGTCCTTCCGTGAGTCCCCATATAAATGAGGAATAGTTTATTTTTTACTATTAAATTCACTACAGAAGTAAGTCCAATGTGAGTAAGAGTCATAAGAGTGACTATTCTGATCATAGGTTTCACTTCCTTCATGGTTATCTCCTTAACTGTAGTTACAACTGGTTTTAATTATATCTGCCATCAATATCTTTCAACATGTAGGTCCTTGAAGGAAAATCTTAGCAAATATAAGTCCATGACCAAATGTGTATCAGTCCCTGACACGAAAAAATTGGAAAACCACTGTCCTAAAGCACAAGGTGGTGTCATTGATAGTCCCGAACCTAAAAACATACAATTTTCTATCGTGTATGACCAAAAAAAACTGCAACTATCTAACCTTGGCCCAATTCTTGCTTGAAAAGAGACTGAAATACAGATTTATTTTCTTTTGATCAACTAATTGTTGAGCTCTAAAACATACTGCCAAAATCCAGCATCTTCTCGTCACTTTTAACAGTAAAACATGTCCAGATTAATCTTTTGCAAACTCTGATATGACAGAACATACATAATTTTAATGTGGCTCAATTATTTGTAAGTCTGGGAGGTAACACTGATGTATTAGTGACAACATGCAAAGTAGATAAAATCTAACAGCTAGCCATGGTATCTAACTATGACTACTTGTGCAGTTAACATCTCCATAATCTACTCAACTGAAGACATGAATTTCTTCACAGCAAAAGTGCCATTCAGTACTGAGGTCTGGGATAAAAAGCTGGCTGAATTGACAATAAAGTACAGCAGTATATTCTCATCTTAACAGTAGTAAATGTTCAAGTGTAAAATACTTAACAGTAAAAAAAAAATGATTCAAATAATTAAATGTAAAGTGGGATGGCCATGTAAACTTCACTAAATGAGAATCATAATGGTTCTCAAAGTGTCTTAAAATGACCCCACATGATTTGAATCTTAAGAAAACATAACAAAAATAGCTGATAGCAACACCACATACATGAGTTATTTATTTAAAACCAATGCACAGAAAACAAAGCCCCTGTTAAAATGATAGATCTGACACCAAAGCCCTGGACAAAAGACTGAAGATAGATCGAGGGCAAAATGTGACTGCAGAGAGTGATCATGGTGGTTATGATTCATTTATGGGACACTGATCATGTATAGAGCTCAAAGTCCAGTCTCTTTGAGTTGTAGAACTGAGCTCCCTCCTGGTCGACCCTCTTGCAGTAAACACCCGAGCTGAAATAGCCTTCATCCACCCAATCCTGGAAAACAGACAACAAGAAGATTATTTAAAACCCACCTGGCCAGATTGAGGTTAAAGGTAAACCAGCCTGCAGCCAAATAATCTAGTAAAAATAATGGGATTTACTAATAGCTTTGCAGGTACATTAGTTTGCAGGAGAAGAACAAAATAATTGAGTAAATGCCTACATAAACTTGATATTTAATTTGTTAGGATAAGTGCAAGTTATACTTGTGCAGATACTTGACTATACTTTAATGCAAACACTTCTAATATGACAATAATATGATGTTATGTGCCAAACACATACCTGAAAATATCACACATGAAAATATGTTCTTCCAGTAATCTACCCCTTAATGGATTGGTATTCTGAGCCCTTGTATACAATAAAATCCTCTATTATTTATTTACTATTTTCCTTCTTAATCATGTATTGTAAATTGAGATAACAGGCAGAGTCCGAATTCCAAACCCCATATCATTTTGTTGTCATCATTCCAGTAAATTCTTGGTTTGGTGGGTTTGTGAGTGTAATAATCAGTCGTCATAGCAATCATACTATGGTATAGAGCCATGATCCAGCCCAAAAAGTCAGGCTCGAACCTACATGAACCTGCATAATTTCTGCCCAAGCCCAATCCGAGCCCAAATTGCGACAACAATTTAGGTCAAAGCCTAGTTAAAAATCTCTATTTCCACTGTAGAAAATAGTAATAATAATAATATTAAAACATTTATTTCAAGCTAATGTCAATTCTACCTCTGTCACCCCACCACCAAACTTATCACTTCTATGTTTGTTCTGATCATTTTTAACGCTCGCTAACAAAAACCATCAGTTCAAAAGTGAGGAAAATACCTGCATCTGCTGACTGGTGAAGGGGCCAAAAACTTCAGAATCATCCTTATTTTCCCATTTGTACTCCCACATCACCTCATCGCTCACTAAGGAAGACAAAAAAACATGGTTAAACAAAACAAGATATTTTGTACTAATGAAGGGAATGTAACCAAGTAAGATTCAGTAACCTTTATTGTCTTCTACTTCCTTTTTATCTGCTGTATGCGACTCGTCAAATTTATCTGCAAACATGTCGAGTTCGTCTTCCTCTTCATCACCATCACCGCCGGGTTCCCTCCCCACAGCTGGTCTGGTGCTGCTCATGCTCTTCAACAAATAGGCCAGTTTTTCATATGTTTGCTGATAAATCTCAAACATCCCAGATCCAACCAATCTGTCAGCTAGTGCTGTGAGCCTGTCGAGCTTTTCTGTATCCCTTTTGGTCTCCTCTGTGGGTTCACTCTCTTCCCTCAGCTTCCCCTTCTTCTGTCCTCCAAGGCCTCCTAGCCGACGAAGCGCTTTGGCAACTGTCTCCCCAGGAAGCAACAGTTCAATCACAGCTTCAGTGAGCTGGTGCTGCGTGTAGGATGCCAGCGGGTCCTCTGCGGGCTCCACCTCCTCCTCTTCTTCTTCTTCATCATTTTCTTTGTCTGCCTGCTTCTCTTCTCTCTGTTTCTCTTCCTCAGCCTCATCCTCATCACCAACTCTGCGTTTTCGTTTGGCTCCAAGACCTTTTTTCTTTTGTTTGAAGGGCTGTTCTTTAATTCTCACCTGGAAGAGGTACCTTATGTTATTTTACATTGCTTGAAAAGTTTTCAGACATGAAGCAAAAGTCCCTAAAATACAAATATTACCCAGTCAATGTTGTCAAGCCAGTTGTCTCTAATCTGTTCTTCCTTTTTGATGAAATAGTTTCCCTCGGAGTCAAAGTGTCCTTCCTGCATTTCCTCTTGCAGGTTGAAAGGTGTAATAGAGACTCCCTCGTCAAAGTCAATTGTTGCTCCCTCTTGGCCTGAAAATAGTTAGCATGGTCTCAGGTGACATAATTACTGATACTCCATGTTTAGACAAAAGACAAATTTTGCTACACTCATGGCACTTGTAAGTAGCCGAAGGGGACAAAAAATTTCCAGTGTCAAAGAATTCAGCCCCTTCTAGTTAAAATGTGCTTCCTTAGCACTTAATTCAAATTCTCATGTGGAAAAAATGTAGCTTCATACCTGTGAAGAACATGTAAATGTATACTAAAAATGTAAAGTAAGCAAGATGACCTCTCTACCATCTATCAATTCATGGTTACAGTTCAAATAGTAAACTAAACATACCCTCCACGTCATCACTGGCCAGAATATCATATTTGCTACTGTTTTTCTCTTCCCCTTCATCCTCTTCATCGCTATCAAGGGAATGTTTGCCCTTAAACCTGGAGCCTGGTCCACTCACGACCTCAGCACTCTATTTCAACGGTAGAAGAAAGAAAGAAAGAAAAAATTACATATACTATTATTTAACATCAAAAGCAATACAGGCAGTCCTTTTCTTGCTGGATTTAGTCACTTATTTCCTCATCCTAACAACACTGTCACTGATTTAGTTCTATTGCAGTACACCTGTCTATGTATTCATTTAAAAGACTTGAAGTCTGACTGGTAAAAAGTGTCCTTCTGCACTTTTAAGTCTTAAGGTAAATTGTGTGGTATATATGGTATATAATGTTCATAATTACATTTTCATTAGTTTAAAATCACCTGAAAATATGAATTGCTGGGTTTTTTGTACCTTAAATTGAGCCTTTTATATCTACATATGAAGTGGGTCCTCTTTCACAGAGTCCAACAGTAGCTCTGAAAGGACAAACCAAACACTGGCTCTAGGTGGGGTATTTGTGTTTTGGCGTTTTCACTTTGTCCACGCTTTACTTCATGTTTCAGTTTCAGTTCTGCATCCTTACCACTAGATGCCACTAAATTCTACACAGCCAACCTTTAAGGGATGTGTGCATTGAAAAGACCCTATAGAGGACAAGTTAGAACATTTTATAAACAGGCAAACACATAATGACAGACTCCTCTTTATACATGGCTTTGCTTACATGATAACCAAGTAAAGCTTCAGAAGACTAGTCATTAGGGCAATAGGTACTATAATCACTTAACCAAAGGGATGTGACTTAAGCACTGTTTGTTATTGTCTTTGGAAAAAAAATATATATATTTATTTTTTTTACCTGTGACCATTAACTTGCAAATTATATGGTTGCAGTTGTGGAATGTAACTAAGCCTTGACTCAGGTACTGTAATTGAGTACAAATTTGAGAGAGTTGTACTTTACTTGAGTATTTCCAATTTATTTCCCTCTAATCAACTACATTTTGCAGACAATACTGTGCTTTTTACTCCACTATATTTGTCTGACAGCTGAAGTTACTTTCAGGTTAAAAAAATTTGGGATGCACCGAATATTCGGTAACCGAATATATTCGGCCGAATATTGCAAAAAAACACACATTCGGTATTCGGTGGAATAAGTTAAAAGCAAGGCCAAATAATAGCTGCGTGTTTTGATAACACAATCAAATGGCGTACCGTGATGGGCGGAATAAAATGTCGGCAGTGTGGTGATCCTTCCGTCACCGTATTTGCGACTAAAAATAGTTTTGAGCGAGCAAAATAAGCTTAAATCATTCAGCACGCTGTGCGAGCAGCCTACAGATTTCAACCACCAGCAGAAACAAAAGGCGAATCCCACCGGTTGTGGGTTGAACGGGGGTCACAGACACAGACAGTAATGTATTCCTGTCAAATACAGTGGCCATCGGCTTAACGTTACCGGCAACGGATAAGTCGGCTCCAATAATATCCTCTTCTTGGCGTCATGACTGCCCAGAAGTACCTGAACGGCCAAGCCAGCTGAACACAGACCGTACGTGATGTGTCAGAGGAGAAACGAGCCGTTCACATTACTCTTTCTGGCAATAACGGCCCACAAACCTCACCGCACTTTAGGGACTGTTATTGTTACTTATGAAGGGACTTGTCAGGAGAGGAGGGTGGCTGGTTGATTCTTATTTTATTTATTTTTTTATTTTGGACCCCCCCCCCCCCATGTTCATCACTGATTGATGCTGTTTTTGAAGTATGAATAAGTCAATAAGTAATTTATTCCATTGAAATATCATTGATGTATTATAGAAAAGTGATTTATCTTTTTATAAATGACAAAAGGCACATCTGCGTCATTTTCGCTGTGGTATTGTGATACTACTTAGAACCATGATATTTTCATTGGTATCGCACAGTGGGTCCCAATTTTGGTACCGTGACAACACTAATCTGGAGGGGGTTCATCTGCAAAAACTAATGAAAAACTAAACAATGATATTCGGTATTCGGTACTCGGTATTCGGCCAAACGTTTAATAATATTTGGCTTCGGCTTCGGCCACAAATTTTCATTTCGGTGCATCCCTAAAAAAATTCACCCCTTCCTGTCCAGTGAAAACCACATATCTTCAGATGTGTCGATGTTGAATGCTTGAGATAAACTGAGGGATGTTCCTTTATGCGTTGAGAAAATTCTCCTTTTTCTTCAGCTAAATAAAGTCTTAAAAAATCCTCTTGGATCAGCTGGAAAATGCATCATCACAAAGCTGAAAACAGGACTGTTTTTCTGACACAATGATAACTTAACTTTTTAGAAAAGCATGGCTCTCACAGGACAGCCACACTATAAACACATGATGACTTTAAAATATGATGCACTGCTGTAGAGTAAATTTCCAAACAGAATATAGGAGTTACAATGAGCACAACCTTTAACATCTGCAGCAGTAAACTGCAACATACACATTAAAGCAGCAGTAATATTATTCCAAATACATAATATATAATAGTGCACTCAATGACTTCTTTTAATTTTCAAACTTAAAGTACATTGTGCTGATAATACTTACATACTTTTACTTAAGTAAAGTTTCCATTGCATGACTTTGACTTGTAGTGGAGTATTTTTGCATTATATTAGTACTTTAACATAACTAAATGATCTTAATACTTCTTCTGTACTTCCACTGTATACTTGTCGGTTACATCTGTGAAGCCTTTACTAGCTAACCAGTGATCTTATTGATCTTTAGTGTCTAAACAAAGGTGTGAAGAGGACAGTGCTACCTTTTTGTTTGGGAGGTCGTCATCCAGCTCAAACTCCCCGTCCCCGTCCTCAAACGTAACTTTCCTCTTCGGCATGGTACTACAGAAGGCAAGACAGTGACTCTTTTATTCCTCTATAACCTTACTAGGTAGCTTTATAACACTTTTACAGAGTAGATTATGAGCGGTTACCACACTGCTCGTGTTAGCTTTGTTGCTAAAAATGTTAGCCAACAACAGCAGACACACAGCGCATGCAGAACAAGTAAACACTTATCACAGTCCAAACTACTGCTAGAGGCAAAATTACACTTAGTTAACTACTACAGCATAACCTGTACATGGCGTTGCTGAAAAAATATACAGAAACGCTACTAAATTGAGATTTAGCTTGAAAATGTGCCAAAACCTGATAAAAATAATTCAAGCGACGTTCGTTTTCGTGTCTTCTTCGCTCGTTTTCTTCTTCTTCTCTTTCTCTGTATGTAGGCTGGTAAACAACGACACGGCACATCACCGCCACCACCTGGTGAAATGTCATATGTACAACAATTCCAGAAAAGCAGTTGTTATACAACAGCTTCCCTCAAACAATGCTCAAACAAATGGGGTTATGTGTAAAAAGAAAAAACGCGAAAGTGAAAACGAGAAGCTAAGACATAAAATGGTGCATTTGGATAAACTATAACGTATAAAATTAAATCATGTATATTTGTGGTAGGCAAGTGTACAGTAATTGCAAGGTGAATACACTGTAATGTTAACATTCATGTAGTCATATATATACATAGTGACAGTAAATCACTATGTAAACAGGTAGTAAAACAGTGAGTAAAAGCAGGCTACATAAAGATAAAGTGATATATTTGTTATTTTACTTAAGTAAATAATACCACACTATAAAAAAAACATCACAAGTAGGTAATGTATTTACATTTTTCTTAGGAAGGCCTAGATATGCATAAGTTTTAGAAGGAAAATATATTCTAAGTATCAAAAACAAAAGCCCTCGTCAGAGTTTTATACTATGTCAATAAATTATTATCACTGATGCATTAATGTATGAGCACCACTATAATGATATAGCTAGTTGAGGTGAAGTTAAATGTAGCTGCTTTGTACCATTAGGTGGTAAAATTACAGTTAATCATATTTTAGAATTTTATCTTTTTTTCTATTTGTATATAAAATTTCTGATATAATCTGATTTGATTAATCTGACTTGGTAACAACACCAGTAAATGTGTTGAATAGATGTAGTGAAGTAGAAAAAAATAGAAATACCCAAGTAAAGTATGAGTACGTAAAAACTGTACTTATGTACACTAGTTGAGTAAATTTAGTTACATAATTTCCAACACTGTATACAAACAGAAAGAGAGCTGCAATAATGACAGATAAATTGATTAGTCGATTACCAGAAAAATAACCAGCAACGAAACAAATATTTCAAAAAATTTATGGTTACCTGATAAAATTTGAGGATTCATTGTCTTATATAAAAAAGATGAGGGGGAAGTATGTAAGTAGTAAGTAGTCTGAATGTCACCTTAGAGTATAAGAATCAGCATTTTCCACAATCTTCTGACTTTTTTTTTTTTTTAACAAATCAATTGATTAAGAAAATACAAATTTAATACTAATTAGAAATACTCTCTTAGCTTTTCTAAGATACTTAGTATTTGTAAAACCTCTGTATGTAATATCTTGGATGCAAACCTCCCACATTTGGCAGCACTTTTTAAGAATATATATATATCGTTTTTCATTTTCTTAATTTACCACAGAAGTTTCCATAATGAGATCATCTGGCAGTTAATATTTGTGAATGAAATCATAAGATGCTGCTGTCGCTGGAGATCAACATACTACAGCTTTTTCTAGTCTGACTTCTTCCACCCACTGCAGTCCTAAAATTACAGCAACTGTCTCAGCAGTGCTGAGATCACCATATCCAACTGTGAGGCTGCATCACATTCAGGGACTTCCACTCCTGATCCTCCTGACATGTTTTTTTCGTGGAGTTTTAAATAATTGTTTTACAACCTCAACAGAGATACTAAAATTATTAACAACTTAAAATAATATTAAATGTTTTTGTTCTGTTAATTTTCCACAGATAAATAACACACACCTGGTGGACAGGTGCATGTGAATAAGGTAGTGTTTAATTCTCAGTTTCAGGTGTTTGTGTCATGACTCCCTTTTTGATTTGTTACAGTATAAAGTACAATATAGAATAAAGATGTTACCTCATATTGTGAATGTGATACTTGATGACCAAGGTCCATCGCATTTTTAAAATAACATAAATAAACATAAGGACTGTGCAGGAATTCAACACTTTCTTTAACATGAATACAGAAAATTTGCATTCAGTTTCTGCACTGAGGTTCAACCTATGACAAGTTGATTGTGACACTTGATTCAGACTGTGTCGTTGAGCTCGACAGTATGACAGACCCTGTAAATCTCTTCGCCTAGAGCTCATTTAGATTTTGAATTCCTTGGAGGTCCTAAAGGATAAAAAGGATAAGTGTGTGTTATAAATAGACACATCAAGCAAAGAAATGTTGAGGCACATATTCAAGAGGTCATGGCTGCCTGCATTTACTTTTCATTGATACAAAAATGTTTCTTAGATATAGATTAATAAAGAGAGACAGACTGGGGCATGAAATTGCATTAAAAGCAGAATCTGACACACCTGATAATGTCATAAACAATTATTTATCTGAAAAGAAGCTGTACATCTCACTGAAGAATCAACCAAGCACTAAGGGACACTTTCTCTGCACGCCACAAGAGATTAAAATAAAGCTCATCTGAAAAAAGCAACACAGAATGCAGAACCGAGAGAGCCGAGGCAAATACATCAGCCCTCAAACTCCACCTCAACATCCAGCATCTCATTTCCAGGTAGCAGGTCTTGTCAGCGACTGCTTGGTTCAGCTGATCCACCAGCTCAGGGTAGACTCAAGCGTAGACGAGAGAGAATATAATATGTCAGGATTTTGTTACCAGGAAGTGGGTCGAGTTATTTATATTTCAACACTCGTCCTTGTGTACCCGAGGGAGAACCAGTGGTAGTAACCTGAAACTATATTCAAACATTGTCTGGTTCTGGATGCATCGAACTGATAGAGAACAACTGGCTCCATGTTTAGGAACTCCGAGGACCCAGAGAAGGAGAGATCTGTAAATGTGAATAATGTAAAAACTGTGTGGGAAGGTAAAGTGACCCTGTGAGGGATTCAACATTGGCAGAGGTGAGTCTGAGTCACTGTTTTCTATTCTGCCTGAGTCACTGTATACAAGAGCTGTGGAGGGAGGACAAGACAGGTTTTTACTGGTATTATCTCGGCTTTATCACTGTTATTGTCATTATTACTTATAGCTAAATACAATTTGTATTATTTGACTGTAGCTCTATTAATTCTGTATATTTGGAGTAACAGTAGGGTCCTGGTTGTCAGTTCTTTTGGGGTACACTGACAGCTGCTTTCAAACCTCGTGTGTAGTGGATATCAATATTTTTTCCTCAAGATAATAATATATCCTTTAATATATGTTAAAGGTCTAAATTAAAAGTGAAAACCTTCTGTGGTTCTTATTTAAAATCACGCTGCTTGATGATTTCATGCAGTTTTAAGTATAGTTACTCAGTGGGGGAAGAGATATCAATGCTTTAATGGAAAAATACTTCATTATAAGCAGCAAAAGTACACAAGGATTACAAGCAAAATGTAGTGCTTTAAGTATCAAAAGCAAAAGTACTTAATCTGCTGAAATGTGGTCACTGTGTATTATTTAATATATCACATTAATCGACCCTTAAAACTGATGCATCAGTACGTGTACTGTTGAAGCCAATTGAGATGGTGTTAGTTCACCTTTTGTATACAGTTTCCAGTGGTTTTCCAACCTAGGGGTCAGGCCCCTTTAAAGGGTCACAAAATAAATCTGAGGGGTCGAGAGACGACTAATGGAAGAAAGAGGAAAAGTTCTGCTTAGGTCACGTTACCTCTTTGGGCTTTAAACAGTTATTCAAATGAAATCATCTGTTAAGTTTACGGAAAAACGTCTCTTTGGCGGAACTGAAAGCAAATCACACACACGCTGGTGATCAGCTGGAAAGGTTGGAAACCACTCATCTTTAATAATACATTTTATTTTACACGCTTATCATTTGTCTTTTAATGTAAAATCGTCATCCAAAAAGTAACTAATTGCAACTGTCAGAAAAAATGTAGTGGCGTAAAAATAATTGTACTTCTCTCTCTATTTAGTGAAGTACACAGTAACATGGAAACACTCAAGTAAAGCAGAAGCACTTCAAAGTAGGCTTCAGTACTTGAGTAATATACTGTAGGTATATTACGTATAGTTACCTACATGGAATGATTGCTGCTATCTAACCTTATGCGAGAGAATAATTGGAGGATATTAAAGATCTACTGAACTGAACTTGAAGGGGCAGTTAACCCCAAAATCCAAAACACATATTTCTCCTCTTTCATGTAGTGCTATTTAGCAGGCCACATTGTTTTGGTGTGAGTTGCAGAGCATTGGAGATATCAGGAGAGATGTCTGCCAGCTCTCCATTGTAATGGAACCAGATGGCACTCGGTTTGTGGTGCTCAAAGCGGCAAAAAATTTGATTTGAAAAACTCAACAGTAATGTCTCCTTCCAGATATCAAGACCTGGTCACTTAAGATAATCCACAGACCTTTGTTGTGAGCAGTTTCATATAGGACCTATTTTCTCTCTGCTGAACTACACCCACCAACCATATCACCAAGCAGAAGGAAGTATGCATCTAATGCTAGCTCACCTAGCACCACTGAGCTAGCTAACAATACAGCTCAGCTGAGGAGGACACCATAAATGTTAACATTTTGTGCTGTACACACATGCTTCCTTCTCATGGTGATTCAGTTGGCGGGTGTAGCTGGGTTGAAAGAAAATAGTTCCTACATGACACTGCTCACAAAAATGTCTGTGGATTATCTTCAGTAACTAGGTCATGATTTTTGTTGAGTTTTTCAAATGTATTTTTGGCACTTTGAGCACCACAAGCCGAGTGCCATCTAGTTCCATTGTATTTGAGAGAAGGCAGATATTTCTGTGGCTGATATCGCCAACACTCAGCAACGCACACCAAAACAATCTGATAAATAACACTGCATGCAAGAGGAAAAAATATATATTTTTGATTTGGGGGAAAACTGCCCCTTTAGTAGAAAAGTGATAACTAATTGTGGTTTGTAGTTACGGTCAAATCAGTGAGGTTTTGCTGATATTTTTTGTTTTTCTTTGTTTTCCATATAGATTCTGGATTAAACCATTTCTGGAACGTGTTACTGCTTCATGTCCCACAGTTTTTAGTGTCTTACATTCTGAATGTAATAGCACTTTCTCTTCTATAGGTGTTGGAATGAAGCTCCATGAGAAGATTTTGAGCCACTACCTATCGTGCACCTCTCCAGTAGATAAAGAGGGATATCTTTACAAAAAGGTTTGGATAAACATAAGACACAAACAACATGAAGTAACTGAATCTTAAGCACTATCACCATGTGATAACAAGTTCAATAACCCTGATTTACTTTGACATCTGTCTCCATAGAAAGAGAGAAATGCCACCTACCAGCGGCGGTGGTTTGTCCTGAAGGCAAACCTGCTCTTCTACCAGGAGCGCCCAGCTGACCGACACCTGCTGGGTGTCATCGTGCTGGAGGGGTGTGCAGTCAGGCGGTCAGAGTCTGATGGACAATTTATCTTTTCTCTGGTGTTTGAAGGGCCTGGACTAAAAACTTACAGATTTGCAGCAGTGGATGGTCAGACTCAGGAGAGCTGGGTGAAAGCTTTGCTCTCAGCCAGCCACTGTTACCTCTCCCTGCTGGTGAGAGACTTGGGGAGGCAGTATGAAGGTGTGTTGTGAAGGCTGTGACTTTGTTATGTTATTTTTTCTTAATTGTTAATTATCATACTTAGAATATTCAAAATGTAGGCCTCATTTTATTATAATTATGATGCATTATAATTTGTTCATCCTCTCTTTTATTATGTCTTCAATATTATAGAATAATTCAACATTTTGGGATTTAGTCACTTTTTGGTAAAGTAAAGGTAAAAAAAGAACCTACCAGCACCTCTGAAGCCATTTTAAATTGATTATTTGCAGGATTATTTCATGGCTCTAAGCAGTTGTGAGGAAACAAGCAGAGACTCCAGGAAGTTACTGCTCCCAGTCAGGAAATAATCCAGCACATAACCTGCTGTAAAAATGCAAATTGTTGTTTTTTAAATTTTGGCTTTTGTAGAGATAAAACAATCAAGATATAAGATACCGTTTGTCTGGCATGATCAAGGTCTGGCTCGGGGGCCAATTGTGGCCAACAGATTGATTTTAAGCGTCCCACGCTTTGTCTTTTAAAATGAATTACAGTCAGGTCCATAATTATTTGGACAATGATACAGTTGTCATCATTTTGACTCTGTACACCACCACAATGGGTTTTAAATGAAACAATGAATACCTGCTTAAAGTGCAGACTCTCAGCTTTCATTTAAGGCTTTTTTCAAAAATGTAGTATGAACCGTGTAGGAATGACAACCATTTCTTCACACAGTCCCCCGACTTTAAGGGCTCATAAGTATTTGGACAAACTAACATAATCATCAATTAAACAAACAGTTTTAATACTTGGTTGCAAATCCTTTACAGTCAATGACTGCCTGAAGTGTTGGACACATAGGCATCACCAGATGCTGGGTTTCTTCCCTGGTGATGCTCTGCCAGCCCTTTACTGCAGCCGTCTGCACTTCCTGCTTGTGTTTTGGGTGTTTTGCCCTCAGTTTTGGCTTCAGCAAGAGAAACGCATGCTCATTTGGATTCAGGTCAGATGATATGACTTGGCCGTTGCAGAACATTCCACTTCTTTGCCTTAAAAATGTCTTTGGTTGCTTTTGCATTATGCTTCAGGTCAATGTCCATCTGCACTGTGAAGCATCGTCCAATGAGTTTTGAAGCATTTGGTTGAATCTGAGCAGATAATGGTGCCCCAAACACTTTAGCTTTCATCCTGCTGCTCTTGTCAGCAGTCACATCATCAATAAATACAAGAGAACCAGTTCCACTGGCAGCCATACATGGCCATGACATAACAGTACCTCCACCATGCTTCACTGATGAGGTGGTGTGCTTTGGATCATGAGCAGTTCCTTCCCTTCTTCCTTCTCTTGTCTTCCCATCATTCTGGTAGTTGATCTTTGTTTTATCTGTCCATAGTATGCTGTTCCACAACTGTACAGGCTTTTTAGATGGTTTTTGACAAACTCTAATCTGGCCTTCCATTTTTAAGGCTAACCAATGGTTTGCATCTTGTGATAAACCCTCTGTATTTATTCTAGTGAAGTCTTGTCTTGCTTACAAGAGCAGCAGGATGAAAGCTGAAGTGTTTGGGGCACCATTATCTGCTCAGATTCAATTAAATGCTTCAAAACTCATTGGATGATGCTTCACAGTGCAGATGGACATTGACCTGAAGCATACTGCAAAAGCAACCAAAGACATTTTTAAGGCAAAGAAGTGGAATGTTCTGCAACGGCCAAGTCATATCATCTGACCTGAATCCAATTGAGCATGCGTTTCTCTTGCTGAAGCCAAAACTGAGGGCAAAACACCCAAAACACAAGCAGGAAGTGCAGACCGCTGCAGTAAAGGGCTGGCAGAGCATCACCAGGGAAGAAACCCAGCATCTGATGATGCCTATGTGTCCAACACTTCAGGCAGTCATTGACTGTAAAGGATTTGCAACCAAGTATTAAAACTGACTGTTTAATTGATGATTATGTTAGTTTGTCCAAATACTTATGAGCCCTTAAGGTCGGGCGACTGTGTGAAGAAATGGTTGTAATTCCTACACGGTTCATACTACATTTTTGAAAAAAGCCTTAAATGAAAGCTGAGAGTCTGCACTTTAAGCAGGTATTCATTGTTTCATTTAAAACCCATTGTGGTGGTGTACAGAGCCAAAATGATGACAACTGTATCATTGTCCAAATAATTATGGACCTGACTGTATATGTGGCCTGCCACAGCTAAGCTAAGCTAACCAGCTGCTTATTGTACCTAAACAAGAGATTGGTGGGTTATCAACCTTCTCTAATTAATGCCAGAAAATGAGCATGTTCCCAAAATGTCCAACTATTCCTTTAGAAAAGGTACCATATGTTGATTTTTTTTTTATGATTAATTACTTTAAGTAGCCACAGAGATCTTTATTAATTTCCTGTTTTTCATCTGCAGAAGCGAAACAGCAACAAGGCTCTGGCGAATCCAGTCACAGCTCCTCTGTCAGTGCTCTCAAACAGTCCACCGCCACCTTCTTCTCTCCTGTGCAGGGGCCAACAGCAGTGGTTAGAGAGGGGAGAAGCTTCAGTGCCGGCACTGTTTTACAAGCACCTTCAATACCTACTAAAGTGGTGGCTAAAAAGTCCCCTAAACTGTGGCACAGGAGGAATGCTTACGTCACACCACTTAATGGACCGGCACCTTTGTACGGCGAGTGGCCTCTGTTGGGTTTTGATCCGCTCGAGGAGTTCAGCAAACTTCATGATTATTATGGGCAGGAAGTGAAGAAAGCGAGAGAGGAGTGGCTGAGGAGTCGTCGAGCAGAAGAGGAACATGGTGATCAAGATCTCATTGACTTGGGGTGAAAGAAATCTGACAGTTAGAGACCATATAAGGGGAAGTGAGATGGAGTGGTTCATGTGTGTTGAAAAGGAAGTGAACCTGAGGTGCTGTGAGTCTAACTGTATTTAAGAACATAGTGTTTGAGGCCCAGACTCCTGTAAATGTGCTAAATGTTCCTCTATTTCATATAATGGGTTTAGATCATTTCTATATTGGATTTGTTTCACAGAAAGTTGTTATTTTCTTGAGCCAAGACGGCCTTAAAGTGTTCATGGGATGCAAAAAAGACAAAGCAAGGGATCTGCACACAGAGCATCGAAAGTGCAGCTGGTGTCTGCACATCTGCGCCTGTTGTGCAGATTGGTGTGTTTCACAGGCATGTTCTGTTTGAGCGTCTAAGTATACTGTGACAGTGAGCCAGCATGCACAATAGCAGGACCCTGAAACTGAAGCAGCTTAATGGAATTTAGTTATCATTAACTGTATTATTCATACTTGGTTTCCTACTGTGGATGTCAAAATGTCTTGCATAGAAAGGCATTTTCCTTATTTGTTCTTATGTCCTCTGCTAATTGGAACCTGCACAACTCCTACTGACTACATTAGTATGCATAACAGTTCCCTGAGCAGATATTCACACATGGTGCAATTAATGATTTCATCCATGGCATAGAAAGGCTGTTTATTGCAGTATTAAGCAAAGAGTATTATATATTTTTCATTGCATGAAAAATAAAATCAGTCTGTTGACTTAAATGTCTCATAATCAATTAGCTGAAAGTAGTTGCACAGGTATACTGTACATCTGTGATACAAAATACAAAGAAAAACATAATATTATTTCACATTTTAGTCAAGACTGTGAAGTGTGATAATGATAAAAATGCTGGTATATGTACTACAGGGCTGATAAGGAAAAGTGGGAACAGGTCAGCAGGTGGGCAGAGAAAGTGATGGGAATGGCTGAAAAGGGTTATTGTAGGGCAGGAGGGAGTGGCTGGATGTGAGAGTCAGGGGACTGGGAGAGACGAGAAGGTCAGGGGGCATTTGCTGGTAGAGTAGAGAAATGGTGGCGAAGGGGAAAGTTGAAATGTGGCTGGCAAGCTGGACAGGAAGACAGAATGTGACATGACACATTAAAAATTTTCCAGCAGGCCTTTGTCACTGCAGACATGTTGACCTGACAAAGCACAGGTGTTACTAATAACATTATAGATGGCTCCATACCTACCGAGTTCCAGTATGCCATGACAGTGTAAGAATAAGCCAGCACGATCACTACCAGGACCCTGAACTTGAAGCCACTAAACTGAATTCAGCCATCCTTCATTGAGTGCATTTACATGGACATGAATAACCTATTTATAATCTGGTTTTTGAGTACCAGTACACGTGTTTGAGCATGTAAACACCATATCCCATTCATGAGAAACCTGTATATGCTAGCTGAAGTACTCGGAAAGCAACCATGATGTATACAGGGAATATTCATATTTTTCTGTGCTTATGTAAACACTGTATCATAACATGATTTTAGCCAGGATAAGCCTCGTAAACGGGTTATTCATGTCCATGTAATTGTACACATTGATTCGGCTATTAACTGCTGAGTTACATGTCTCATAATTAGTTTGCTTCCATATTAATACACAGTCCTAGATCACCTATAAGTATATATAATGTATGCTGATACAAAAATTACAAACACAACACTGGTTGCTGGTCCAGTTCATAAAGTTTAAAAAAACATTTCCACTAGAATTACAAAATAGCATATGGAAACAAGCATGAGACAGATATAATTTGTCTCTTTTACTGTATCGTGTTTGAATGTTTCTCACATTCAAAGGCATGATATTTTTAGAAGAATTCTTAAAGCATGCAAAAAAACAGTGTTTGAGATCTGTAAAAAAAATATTGGGGAATTTGTGGCCAACACACGAGAATAATCTGTTTGTGAGGCTTATCCTGGTTATGATCATATTCTGGATAAAGTGTTTACATGAGCACAGAGCAATTGGGTTATTCATATTCTCCTGATACATCCTGGTTTCTTTCCGAGTACTCCAGCTTGCATATTTCCCAAAATCCGATCATAAATGGGTTATTCATGTCCATGTAAACGCACTCACAGTGAACACTGAAGTTTAGGAAATTTATTTTCCCTCCCTTTTACTGGAAAAAAAGAAATCACTGAGCCTCAAGCATCAGAAACAGCGTCAGTGCAGGCTAGTGAACAGCAGAGGGCGCTGCAGGCACAGTGTGCTAGCGTTAACCACCTGACTAAGACAGTGTATTCTTAGCAGTATGATTTAGTCAGAAATAGCACAGTGATTTATAAAAGTATGCAAGAGACACAAATAATGCAGCTGGTGTTAAAACTGACAGGTTAAATATTTGTGGGAAATGAAGTGCCCTTAATTGAGTTATCTGCTCATTTACTCAGATCATTACAACGTGTCTGACTGTCATTTCAGTTAAAGCCACTGGATTAATTAAACAAAACAACTGCTCACGAGGCAAAACATGTTGACGTTTAATAAGGTTTATAATTAAACACTTCATTCAGCCTCCTCCACGTTCAATGCCAGCAGACTGAAAAAAAAGAGCTGACACCTGACCTTACAGTTAAAATTTACTGTTCAATCCTGCCGTCTATGGAGTCAAATAACATAACAAGGCAACTTGAAGCTGGTAAGTATTCAAACATACCAGAGTAAAACATACATCTCTGACACCTGACATGTCATGAAGGTTCCTCTGAGGTCTTCTTTCTACTTAGTACAAACTGGGAGCGTCTTCACATTCCTGACCCCACACGCAGACATACCAATCACCTAAAAAGTGATAGATGGCTGCATAGGATCGTGGTGACACGTGTCACATTACAGCATAGACCCCCTGAAATGTATGGAAACACTTCCTCACAATAGCAGCCTGTAAACACACTGTGAAATGAGACCATTTAATTTATTTTACAGCTGTGTATAGTCAGCAAGCTGCAGCAGCTGACACGTCTGTGAAAGTTTGAGAGGCCACAGCTTATTTTCAATTAATAACTTTGACTCATAACATTTAGAAACAGGTGGACCAAATCTTTAAGCATTAAATGCAGGAGTTAGGAGTAAGCTATTATTTCTGTCTTTTTTTAATTTATTAATTTATTAATTAAGACAGATTTAAAAAAAAAAAATTAGTGACATTTTTTGACAACCCTCCAACAACTTCAAAAATAAAATTGTAAAAGGAAAACGCAGGAACAGATCAAAAAAATAGTACAGATGTCTTCATGTTTCAAAGAACATATTTGCTTTATGTCTAACATGTTAAACAACGAAAAGACAAACCATGTAGAGGCTTTGTAATTGTGTTGATTGTTTTTTATATAATGATGAATTAATTAAAGGCTCTATATATGACATTCAGAGCAACTATGAGCTATGTAAAGATGTCGTGGAGTAATGGCATCCTGAGCAAAGAATGAAGTCATGCTCTCTCTGTTTGTAAAGTAATCTGAGCCTCTCTTTTCTTTGCTGTGGTGCAGGTCCAGCCACATGTGCATGTTAGTAGGTGCATCCATCTGCTAGCTAACCACTGCCACTCTGCACTGTGCTCATACGGCAGTTACAGATGGTTACCATTGATAACAGCGACAGTGTTGTCATAAGCATAATGCCCACCCTTTGTTTCCCCCCAGATTAAACAGTTGTGCTAGTGTTAGTTGGTCCTTGGCTGTAGTTTTTGCGATGTGTTCAAATGCAACTTTTTGGCCAAGACACAGCAGACGTGAGATGACGCAGCAGTTCGCCTTCGTCAACACCAGTTCTTTGATAATGGTTTGTTGTGTTGGGCCTTTAGCTGTGTTAGCACTGTTGCTCCTATTAACTGCTTAGCTGCCTGCTCAGTCACCACCATGTTGAGAACCGCGTGTAGACAACCCTGGCCCACATGCTGAATGGTAGACATACCACTTGACATTCATCTCCTTTAATATATCACATGCTACAAGTACAGAATGAAAAATGGCTGCAAGAAATGCTAGATAAACTAAAAAAACAGCTAGAGTTGTTCCAGATAGACATGATATGCTATACATTATATTGTTATGATCTAAAATGTTTAGCCAGTAAACTAATGCCAATTGCTTTTCCTTACTTTGCAGCATTAGGGGACTGTCTATTTGATTTAGCCCTAAACTGAGATTTTAAGGCACTGAATCATTCATGTAAGAGCACATAAGGAGCACAAGCAACATTTCAGGCTTGAATCTGGTCTGTTAAAGGTTACATTTGGTCATTTCACCACTTAAAATTATTGCTTCAGCACACATTTGCCTTGATTTTAATCTGAAAATTCAAAATTTGTTTTAGTTATTTTAAGTTATTTGTTAAGTTATAATTCAGGGTTTTTCCATGGTGAATGTGAAGCCAAAGTGCAAAAATATATCATGGAGTTGATCAGTCTGAGCCCTCTTTAAAAGTAGAAATCACAGTCGGAACATGGGGTATGACGTACAGTATTTCATGCCTGCAACAAGGTGGTGAGAATCAAGTGAGCCTGAGATCAAAGGTCAGCTGGATCACAGGGGAGGTCTGACAGCTAGCATTGGGCTCTGGATGTCCTGAACACCAAAGATAAACAAACGTCTGTCTGATCCAACTTACCGCAGAAGTGGAAACCAGTGAAGAACCGAGACATGACTCATGATTGAGAGATCAATGGAAACACAAACAATCAGGACCAGAGAGCCGAGAGAGGGGCCAGAAATAAAGTCCTCCAATAGAGGAGATTAACAAAGCTGATAATGAAATGAAAACAGATTATCTCTGAGGTAAATTTGGATATAAAACCTGAAAAAACTAATGAAGGAAAGCATTTTGTTCTCAGGGCCCGGCGCGTTGGCAGACTGTCAAGTTTATTTAGCTATTTTGGTCACGCTCAGCTGTCCCTTTTATGTTCTTCTGGGAATGTCTGCTGCCATCACCCTGCCAAGTAATCCCTCTTATATTTAAGGGGGGAGGAATGGTGGGCAGATGATGCGAGAGGGTGGTCGGGAGGACAAACAGGTGGGAAAGTATTCATGCCTGAGGCCAGTCACTAAACACACACCTTTGTGGTGATGAAAAAGGTGGATTGCTGCCAGGGGTTAATGGTGCTTTCACTTGGCTGTCATGTTGTGGGTAATTTAACGCTGACAACAAAACTGATCCTCAGACAGAACCAAAACTACAACAAACAAAACAGGAAACAGACACAAGGAGCTCACACTTACAAAAACCAAGACTGAATTAGAAAACATGGCTTTCACTGATGAGATGCTTTGAAAAATAAGATCATAGATACATAAATGCCTTTATGCAGTAGTGGAAAGTAAAGACATTTATTCAAGTACTGTACTTATACTGTGAATATTTTCATTTCATACGTCTTTCTGCTTCTACTCTACTACATTGCAGAGTGAAATATAATACTTTTAACTACATTTATCTATTAGTTAAAGTTACACATTATTCTTTTAATGAAAAAAAAAACATTATATAAAATACAAAGAATTGTTAGATATAAAACCCTTTCCTCAATGTCACATTTCTGATGTGGCAGGCATGGACTGCAGAGGCAGGGTTTGGGGGTCACAAATTTTGGAGTCTGCTGAATGAATAATTTATGAACTCAATACTCACACATCGGTGATATAAGCCCGTGTCTGTTTCGATATATGTCCTTACACCATCTGAGTGCCTGGAAACTGCAACACCCCCTCCCCTTCAGTTTCATTCCGTGGTTTATGTTGACACGTGCACTAATGGGCAACCTCTCAGATGGTCTCATATAAATTATTATTATCCAATATTTCACAAAGAAAGCAATAATCAGAGAAAATCTAAAAGAATATCATACACATTTAGCACATATTTGTAGCAGGGTGTTGTTCTTCTATCCACCAAAATCAGCTACAAAAATACTTTTTATTAATCAGTATTAATAAACTAATAATGTCATATATAATAACAGAAGCCATTTTTCAGCAGAGCACCTACTTTTGCTTTGAGCACATTTAGCTGATAAGTGTGCGCTTAAACTTATGTAGAACTTTAAATGCAGGGCTTTTGCAGGTCTTTTTACAGGGAGTATTTTGATACTGTTGTACTGAGTTTTGAGTAGTTCCTCCACCTGTGCTTCTATATCTTGCAGCACACAATTAATTAATATTTTATACTTCATTCTGAGTATCTTCTAAATAAGTTTTTTTTTTATATTATTATTTAGTTAGTTATTTTATTTATTAGTGTGCTTACATTGCTTTTATTGCTTGCTGCCTCTTGGATGTTCATGTACATTACTTATTTTGTGCATCATAATTAAAGATAATGGTGTTATCAAAAACAACAATACCAAAGATGGTGATGATTATGGGTAGTATTGTGAGATGTTTAATAGTAAGTCAGTCTTCATTTATCAGTCACAATTAATTCAAGTTTAATAGTCACTAATAATAGCATACTCATTATTAAGGTGAGATCACTGGATAGAAAATGCTCTGTACAGATTTTTTAAGCAGTCACAACTAAAATTATAAGTATTTTCTAATTTTTTTTTAATTCTTTTTTTTCATTAATTCAATTATAAACAATGCCAATACCCTAAATTCATCATAACAGAGTAAAGAAATGTTTTTAAAAGGGGGGAAATGAATAAATAAAGAAGTGTCTTTAATAAAGTGAAGCAAAATGCATCAGGAGAAAGTATTACAGTATTTAATTCTTATTTATACACACATACAATTCAGTGTGAGCATGCTAATCCAAAGTTTTTCAAATACATGCAAAGAAAACTGTTCTTCCATCTTGTTTGTTGTGTGAAGAGATATTTTGATTGAATATATAAATGAGCCAGATGCCTTCATGCAGCAGTACATCTTACATTACATTAGAGCACATTAGCATCATTACAACTTAAAATAAGCTGTGCACATACAGGGTAAAAGCATCAGTCACTGAGTGTATGGAAGGCTTGTATCTCAGTCCGTAATATAGCAATGGACATCACAAACCAAAAATAAAGTGGCTGCTGTGCCTCTATGCAGGCAGATGGAGGTGGTCAGAAGGAGGGTGGAGAGATACCGTCCAGTGGTCCAACAAGCATCTAATGTCCCGAATGTCCTTATTAGTCCACGTGGGACTGCAGACCTGCAGCATGGTCCCTTAGATATCAGGTTTACTTAATTCCAAGACTCCTGGGTCTATTTCTGATCTCCTGTAAGGTGATATGATGTACCGCCATTCTGTCTCCTCCACTTTAGCCATCAGTTCATCCTTAACCATCCTTTCTCACTCCCTCCCTCTCTTTTCTATCCCCATCCAAACTTGAGGCTGCGGCTAAAGTTAGATTGGCCGGCGGAGGGGTATATAAGCCCCCGGGGATGTACGTATAACGCGGCTTCACACTATCTTTCCTTCTTGATCAGCCAAACCTCCACTGATACCGTCTCAAGATGGTGAGTACCAGGTCTCCCACACTTCTGCACTCTTCTGGTGGAAACATCTACAGGGGAAACAAACCAACCCTATGGATTAAATCTTCTCGTTGATGACTTTTTTTTGTCAAGTCTTGAAATAATGATATCAAATAGATGGGAGCATGTGTCATCACTTCCAGTAAACCAAGTCATTTTGGAAATTTTTTGTGGATTTACAGTTCTCGTTGATGCAGTTTTAAGGATGCTTGGGTAGCAATGTGTTGTTAAATTGCATGCCAAACATCTGCAGGACCAAATTCAAGAAAATGATTTTTTAAAAAAACCTTCAGCCCTGCTCACAAACCAAATGCATGTCATATTTGTAGTCAGATCATCAGATTTACTAACCTGATGTTTGCACCTGAACATCTCATCTGCTAGAGCAGTGTTTCCCAACCTGGGGTCAAGACCTCTTTACCAGGTAACAACATAACCTGAGGGCTTATGACACAGTTGATGGGACAGGAAAAAAAGAAAAATCTGCAACACAAAATTTATGTCAGCCTTTTTTTGTTATCTTTGTTGCTGTAGTTTTATCTGAAAATGAAAGAAGTTCATAGAGGAAAACTACTATTTTTGGGTAGATAAATGCACGTCCATGTTACTTAACTTTAATGGGTCACAAGCCAAAAGGAGGTTGGGAACCTCTGCCTGTACAGATGTGAGTTTTAGACAAAATATAACTGACTGACCTGAAGACGTCACTCGTGTGTTTGTCCTCCAGGCACCAAAGAAGGCCAAGAGGAGGGCAGCAGCAGGAGATAGCGGCTCCTCCAACGTGTTCTCCATGTTTGAGCAGAGCCAGATTCAGGAGTACAAAGAGGTGAGGTTTGTCCGGCCACACAGTGATACTCCATCCCCTACAGGAGCCCATTTTCCCCTATTGTTTCATCATGGCAGCCCCAGGATGCATTAGACATCTGTATAACTTCTGATAAATAAATGTAAACCACTTTCAATTCTGAATTCACGCTGGTGTGATTTGAGTTTGATTTTTTGGAGCCGGTAACCAAAATTAGAGTTTGGTAATTAAGCAGCTCTTGGATCCATTTTCACAGCAGTGGCTATTTTGCAGTCGCCCCCTCTCCCCTGACAATTTAATCAGCATGAGAATGTCATTAGGAGGAGCTCTGAAATTTCTGTCACCATCTGAAGCTCTCAACATTTTGTTCCCCTTTGACCTCGCCCCCCCAGCTGTCACCCAGACTTCTCCTTAAGGCTTAAGGCTGTGAGGCCAAGCAGAACAACTGGACCTTGTATTGTAGTGCAGAACAGAGGACATGAGTAGAAAAAGGAAAGAGCATGTTTGATATATTCAGTAGTTTTAACTTTTATTTGTGTCCAATCAGAGAATTACTTTGATGAACGGAGAAAGAAGGACCAAAAAGCAAAGGGAGAAAGCATGAAGTGTGAAGGGCGTGTGGAGTTCAGTAAGGTCAGGGAGATGGAATTTTATAAGAGCAGCCAAGAGATTACATGATGGTGTTGGTGTTTTTTAATACGTTGTCAAGGGATATGTGCTGCGAATAGAGGAAACATGCCTCTTGCGATAAGTGATACAGGCTCCTTGAGTGCCACTTTGGGAATGTTCAACATGATGATTAGGGTGATCTTAGCACGTTACTCAGATGGAAAAATAGATGTGGGTGTTTTGGATTAGTCAGAGCGAGGGCAGTGTGTGTGTGTGTGTGTGTGTGTGTGAGAGAGATAGAGAGAGAGTAAGAAATAAGAAGGAAGGGAGGGAGATGAGCAGCGCGATCAAGTCCAAGAGGTCATCTTAAGTTTCATAGATGTAAGTTGTGCAGGGTGAGCAGATCAGACAGCTGTTCCCTAACGTTACTTTCCTAAATTAACATGTAAGAGAAGACTTGGGGCTACCTTAAGCACCCCCACCACCCCCCTTAACCCCCCTTGAACCCCCTTCAAGGCCATGACAGTGAGATCTGCCTTTTTGGGTGCAGCCTTTCTCTTGTGCACTACCCTCTAACAACATTTGTAAAGCATTGTGTCAAAGATATTTGCAGCTGCTGCTTTCACAGACAAAGTGATGACAGAGGAGTCCCTGAAAGTGTTAAGGGGTCTCACCCCATCCATCCACACAGCCCGTCTCCCCATCTGTCCTCAGTGCTTCCTTCAAGTAATAACCACAGTCTTCCTCTCTGTAGGCTTTCACAATCATTGACCAGAACAGAGATGGTATCATCAGCAAAGATGACCTGAGGGACGTGCTGGCTTCATTGGGTGAGTGCTGATGGGATCAATCTACAGTGGAAAAGCACATGTGTTTCATGGTTTCTTGGACTAATATGATTTTTTTTTTGTGGTTGTTCAGGCCAGCTTAACGTGAAGAATGAGGAGCTGGAGGCCATGATCAAAGAGGCCAGCGGCCCCATCAACTTCACCGTCTTCCTCAACATGTTCGGAGAGAAACTGAAGGGTGGGTGTCTCATTTTCACCGACTGTCTCTGTCACACTGATGTGTGTTTTAGATTATGTCCATCATGCTGATGTTGACTGAAGTCCTTACTGGTCATTAGTGGTAGTACATCTACTCAAGTGTTGTACTTAAGTTCAAATTTCTGGTATGTAATACATAAACCCCCATCAAGGAAACACTAGATGAAACTAGTGTATAAACAGTGTATAAAGGTGTTAAAATTAGCTTCACCTCGAACAACTCAATCACAGGGTGCTTATATATCAATACATCAATGACACTGTTCCACTAATATAATAATATAGCACTGATTAGGGCCGTTCTGTGTAATGAGTACTTTTATTTTTACTGTATACTTTAACACACATTGTTGCACCCTGAATGCAATTACCCATGGAGCATTTCCGTTGTGTGTCACTGATAGATTTACTCAGTGTTTTTCTCTTCCTCCTGTCCTCACCAGGTGCTGACCCCGAGGACGTTATTCTTAGCTCCTTCAAAGTCCTGGACCCGGAGGGTACTGGAACCATCAAGAAGGGATTGTAAGCAAATTTAATAGATTATTTTTAACGTTCTCTATGCAAGTCCAAATCGGATCAATTCAAATGTATGACCAAAATCTGTTTGCGCATTCCAGCCTTGAGGAGCTCCTGACCACTCAGTGCGACAGGTTCTCCAAGGAAGAGGTAAAATCAGCAACCTGTTAGAGGAACACTGCATGTTTTTGGCAGACTGGCTCGTTGGTGTTATTGCGTACTGTAATTCAACACCTCCTGTCTCTATATGCAGATATGATGGCGACTTTCAAAGTGTCCTCATCGTTTACAGATAGGATGACCCCTTTCTTTCATTTTCTGGAAGGGTCTCTCCCTTATTCCACAGGGACGATGTCAGATTTTACTATATCCACCCAATGTTCGAGGTTCCTTTATTATTGGTTATCAAAACTTTAAAGTTTAACCTGGACTAAAATCTTAACAATGTGGTCAAGTAAGCTGAATCTAAAGTGTGAGCTTAAAATGTGAGCAGGTTTTGTAACTTGATAACGGACCAGTATCTCAAAAACATGGTACATTCCTTTCCAAAACATTGAGATCATACATCCCCTGCCAAGCTGAATTTCCAACTGTTTTCCCCCTCAGATTAAGAACATGTGGGCCGCCTTCCCCCCAGATGTTGCTGGCAACGTAGACTACAAGAACATCTGCTACGTCATCACACACGGAGAGGAGAAGGAGGAGTAAAGAGAAAGCAAGAAGACACGAAAAGACAGCAATCCCTTCGCTATTCTGCCTTCCCTGCCCTTTTCTTTCCTCCTTGCTTCCTTTTTGTGTAAACCCATGTGCTCAGCCATTCATGTTCGAACCAAAGACTTGTCACACCTACACATGACAGGGCTGATGCCTGTGGGGTGTCTATGTTTGCTTATGGGGAATAGGGGTGATTTTCAATAAAATTATCCTGTAACATCATTTCCATCCACAAGCTCCAAAACCTTTTCTTTCCTTGCAATCATCTTCTGTCTTCTCACCTCTACATCTCTGTCTGCCCTGTCACTTCCTCCTCTGAGGTGTTTGTGTGAATGAAACTTTTCACCCTGCTTCCTGTAGTATCTGAGGAAAAGACAGGTTTATTACTGAGAGGGGGCGCACATAAAGTGGGAGGACCTCATTCCAAATTTTGAAGATGTCCTCTTGGGTGGAGAAGGTGAGAGAACGAAGAGCATTTGCAGGTTAGAAAGGAAAAAAGTTGTCTCCTTAAAGTGACGACAACTTTTTTCCGTGCGAAGTGGGAAAAAAACACTACCGAAGGAGGGGAGAGAAAGGGCCGAAAGAAAACATTCAAATCTTCGTTTTCTTTCCCTCCGCTCCTTCCTCCATCCATCCATTAAATCATCTTTTTTTTCCATAAGCTGTCTCGACCTCAGTGACCTTTCCTCTGTAATGAATAAAAGGGACAAACTGTGAATAAAATCTCTTTCCTTTTGTACAATAGTGTCTCTCTTCAGTGGTTCTATGGGACAGGGTTCAAGGGAGGAAACAAGTATGGAGAAATTTACAGCAAAATCTCTCATGAACACACAGCTAGTGACATCTAGTGGAGCGGCTTTACATCTGCATGTACGAAGAGGAGCCTGAGAGGTACATCTAATCCACACAGATCAGCACCTCCTGTGAACTTCTGCACAGAGGGCAAAGAAATGACCAAACTACTTTTATTATAGCAGTGACAGGTGGTTTTCTGTGGTTAAAAATAAATGCTGGTCATATAAATCCAGCCAGATTCATATTGTTTCCAAGAATATGTTCAACAATTGCACAAGCAGATATGATCTCAAGGATGATTTCTTCATCACGACTCTCATGAATTTACCACAAAAGTAATTCAAAAAAACAGAACATCCTCCATGTTTCATCAAGAAAGACAAAAACACCACAGTGATTTAATATATTATGGTTTATTACTCATCACAAATGTCATTATCATCATCAATTAAATACATCAGTTGTAGATCTGAAGGAATGAATTCAATTAGCTATGATTTTATTTCACTTTCACCAGAGAGAGTGACAATGTAAACTTAAAAACACAAAAGACGTAACGGCATGGGGAGAAAAACAGCTGAAACTCTTCTTCATATATATGCATTAGTGGGTAGTCATTCCCAATCAACTGTAATCAAGAATGACAATTTCAGATCAATGCAGAAATGCACAAATGACCTGAAAGAAATGGATTCCTTGATTCATCCTCAATATTGCAGCGCTAGGTGCCGATTCCACAAGCTAGTGAGAGATTAAATTGATCATCACGTCATCTAGAGCCCTCTGAAGTAAGAGAAATGACATTATCATCGAGACATGAGCTGCGAGAACGTATTGCTCATAAAATATTGAAGTCCACGGGCATGAGAGTGTGCTCAGTGAAACTGAAGCACAAATTTCATTTTCCCCATGGCACCAATCTGACCATCACGATCAGAGGTGAAATCAGTGCTGCTGTTACCACACACCATCAACAGTCATGATGGTGGATTGTTTGCATAGATGTGTTCAGGCCTATCCTCACTAACACTACACTAATCTGTGCCTATGAATGCACTGGCGTCAATATCGGGGGAGGGAGGGAGGGAGGGAGGGAGTGTGTGATATTTATATATTTAATGACAGCCACGTAAAGACCTGAAATAAGTGAAAACAATGAATATGTAGGACATGTTGGCTACAATTACACGAAAGTCCCTCTAATCCTTAACTACAAAAACAGTACAGTTAAAGAGTATCAATGTTTTTTTTGCCATCAAATGGTTTTACACTAACTACCTGGCACTATTCATCGTATACTGATGGGGTTCAGTGCAGTTTAATGTATGCATAAATATGTTACAGTACAGAACACTGAGTGTAAATAGGTTAGGGAGTTAGTCCGTAAGTCATTATGAATGTTACAACACAATTTGGTGAGACAGACATACTTAAGATCTCGAATTAAAGAACTATTCAAAGCTCATAAATCACCTCTTATTATATTATACAGTACGATTAAGACCTTCAACTCCCAAAGCTTCTGTCTGAATCACTCGTCTCAGTTTGTTCTGTCGGAGGCCCATTTTTCCACCCAAATCTATTTAATACTGCACTTCAGTAAACTGGAGACTCGTGAACCTATAGTTGACCAAACCAACGGTGACAGTAAACTTAAATAATAGCAAAAACATGCGTCAAGTCTGTTGTGTAAAAGCAGAGGACTTAGCGTGCAAAGAAAAAAAAAGAAGAGAAATTAAAAATAAAACACTTAAATGATCACCCTGCAACTACACTGTGTGTAGTTGGCCATCGTTCCAGTCAACCAGGTGTCTCTTACTCACATAGAAAAATAGTCAGATCCAAAATAATAATAATAATAATTCATAATATACTATATTTGATTAAATTAACCACTTTGTACATAAATACATCAGAGCCCAAAGGTCAGAGATCAGAGGTTAATGCTACATTGGCACACCTGGCACCTCCAGTCAAGTGGCTTCCTATAGGTCCTCGAGGCAAGATTTCAAACTAAGAAACCGGCCTGCTGAGACTCTCGTTTTCTACGTCACTGCACTAATGGAGTGGTCGACTTCAGTGGTACTTTGTGACAGAATCACAAGTGCAAAAATCATCCTTCATTCTCTTAAGATACTTGAAATCACATTCTAATGGGTTCGTGAACTTAAGTTCTTACCCATCCTGAAATTTGGCTAAATAAAACACACACATAGGATTTTGTTCGCAAATAAAAGCAAAATAATACTAATTTTACAGATTTGGTTTGCAGGACTTGTGCACAGTCACTGCTGTGTATTGCATGTTTTCACGCAACCACTTTATCAATAATGTTGCACCCCACTTTTTGCCAAAATCGACCTCAGACACAAGAAATTTAAACTGAATTAATTGAAATAAAAACAATAAAATGCTCCCCGTGTGTCGTTTGTCAGAGACAAAAACACACATAAATGATTCATTAAAAAACAACCACCACTGCATGGTGGTCATATGCTTAATCATCTCCCTCTTTTCATCTGTGTACATTCCTCCAGTCCCCCTTCAGATTTATTCCACTGACTAGAGAATTTAGGGAGAACCACACAGGATTCAATGGTTTGACTTGAGAGAAAAAAAGCAGCCAGAGGGAGACTGAAAACAGGGAGGCCACACATAGAACAGTAACACATTTCACTACACTACTAAGGCACACACTCACTCACAACATTTAACATGACAATAAATACATCCTCAACAACATTTCTAGCATTTCTGCCTTCAGTGCCTGTGTTTGAGACGACTTCAATGGGTTTTCTTTTCTTGTTGTCACAGGCATCCAGATAGCCTGTGCACGCATGAGAAATGATGGGGCTTGTGAAGCGCTATCAGGATACTTTTTATTTACATACTCTATGGCACCGGAACTATTTCTGCAACCCTTCAGCTCAACAGTCCCTCGAGTTTTTCTAACCACTGCCTTCAATCTGACTTAAAAAAAAAAAAAAGACAAAAAGAATTTAAAAAACTAAAAGATAATGACTGCGTTCAGATTCACAGTCCGTGCTCCAGTTGTAAAAGGAAATTTGTCCCATCATACTAAAACTCGGTGAAAAAGGAAAGCATTGCGCAAAGGGCTAAAAGCCCCCCGAGGTGCTATTAAAACCATGATCCAGTTTTCTCCACCATAGTCCTGGGACTACATTAAGTCTTTGAAATGATGCATTATACAGGAAGCCATCCCATTTTTTTTATTAATCACTCTTCTGTTTCTGGGGGTCTTTTGTTCCCCTGACCTTTTTTTGTTCAGTGTCCCTTTTCATTATCCTGGAATGACAGGGTGGGAAACTAGGCCGAATCTCTTGCTGCTGCAGCTCCATTTTTGTCCTCAGCTTCTCCTCCCCCTTTGTCCTTTTTCTTCCCCCCTTTCTTCTTCTCTTTTTCTAGCCTCTCCTTCTCCTTCCTGAGCCTCTCTTTTTCAGCCTTTTCCTTTTCTTTCTTTTCCTTCATTTTCTTCTTCTCGTCTTCCTTTTCCTTCTTCTTGTCTTCTTTGCTCTTCTTCTTCTTCTTTACTTCTTCCTCTCCAGTTGTGACATCGGCTGCGGGCGCCGCTTCTTTTTTTGAATCTGAAATTAGTGGCAGAGGGGCGTTGTTTGCTGTAGGAGAGGGGATAGTATGAGTAATTTGCTCTGAGACGACCTTAGGAGAGGGGGACAGGGTGCTGGGTGGTGGTGCTGTGCTTTGCGTTGAGGCCGCAGCAGCAGGCTGGCCCTGTGCTGAGGTGTCGTCTGAGGCCTGAGCAGCCCCACGTGATGAGCCGGCTGCACCCCCGACTAAGGGGCTCTGAATGTGGGGTGCCTGTGCCCTCTGACCTGCCCCTGGAGGAATGGGGGGTTTATGGCTGGGGCCTTGTTCTGGGCTTGATGTTACTGAAGGCCGAGACTGAAGCGGTGGGCCTTCGAATCCTGATGGCCCTGAGAAGGAGCCCTTCTTGGTTTGGGAGTGGAAAGGATTCTTGGACCTACGGAAGCCAGGGAGTGAGAGGAGGCTGGAAGAGGCCCTGAGGGGTCCTGGCGGAGGGACTGGGCTTCCCAGGAAAGAGAAGCTGCCGCCGGAGCTGATGGAGGCGGCACGGCGTTTGTGCTCGTAGATGGCCCTGGTGCCATGGAGGCGGCGGCCTGGCTGGTGTGTCAGCTCCCCTCTAGACTCCCTCCACTTCCTCACCTGGATGCTGCACTCCCTCTCTATGAGCGACTCCGTCACCGGGAGCGTGATAATCTGGACGACACATCAGACAAGAACGAGACAGACAGAGGAAGTGAAGATTACTGGGCTGGGTACTACAGGACAAAGTGACTCATAACTCGTGTCCTGACTAAAAACAGAAGCAGGTTTTGTTTATGAAGCTGAGAGAAAGAGACCTACCTCCTGTACCAATATGTCTTCTCTGATAGTGTCAGGTGAGATGTTCCTTAAACGTTCCATGGTTTCATACATGCCTTGTAGTTCCCGAAGTTTATCCACTGAGCCGAGCATCTGTTTCAGGAGAACCAGGCCCACACGAAAAACTATCTTCACTCCTACGATCAGAGACGCAAATCAGTTTTTCTGTTAAACTACAGGCCAAAAATAAAACTGAATTCAAGAAATACTTAAAGGGACAGTTCACCCTAAAATCAGGACTACATATTATTTATTTATTTCAGCTAGCAACTATGAGCGAGCTAACATTACAGCTCAGGTGAGGAGGACGCCATTAATGTTTACACCTGGTGCTGTCGCAAACACATGCCTCTCGTTTGTGAGTAGATGCATGCCTCCTTCTATGCTGTGATACAGTGGTGGGTTTAGTTTGGTAGGAAGAAAAAAGTTCCTACATGAAATTGCTCACAACAAGGTATGTGGATTATCTTGCATAACCAGGTCATGATTCTTGGAAAGAGACATTTCTGTTGAGTTTGTCAAATGCTTTGAGCACCAAAAACCAAGTGCCATCTAGTTCCATTATATGCGACAGAAGGCAGCCAATATCTCCAACCTTCAGCAACTCTCATGAAAACAATCAAAATTGATTAACAGCACTACAGGTACAGGTGCATTTCTGATTTTGGGGTGAACTGTCCCTTTAAAACTGCAGAAAAGTTTCCGATTCAATCAATTTATGACGGAAAAAATGTTTCCGATTTCTTATGAGATCATTGTAATTCAACACCAACTCGAGGTAAACGTAGGTAAACAATTAAGTTATAAACAGAGAGAAGCGCTAAGGGCTGGTGGATATGAACGTTACCTTCACAGAAGAACATGTCCCATACACGCAGTACACTGGCCCATGGTAAGGTGCGTGAGAAGATGCACATGAACCACTCAGTCATGTAGAGAATCGGGTCAATCTTGAACTTCTTAAGATGACGGTACGCCATTGGACATGTACGCCGTAACAGGGAAAAGAAGATCTCACCATCCAGCTGGATTGCTTCCTAGAAGACAGAAGTGATGAGTCAGTAAAGCTGTGAAAACTGACACGAAGGTCTGACAAAAGCCTTGTTTCATTCACTCACCAGTCCAGCGCTGTAGTAGCCAGGAAGGTACTTCTCGCATATCTGTACGAGGCACCAAAAAGCTTGCTGTGAAACAGAAAAAAATATATAAGTTGAGGCTGCCAGTCAACTGCAAATGAGGCTAAAGAGTTTTCAGAAAGTTGTGAGTTGAAAAACAATTACATCACTTTGTTTCCCAATTCTTTTTTGGGCTCTTTTAAAAATAGAACAATGCACACATTATTGATTCATCAAATCTTCTCATGCTTCCTTCTTTCTGTATCTACTGTGTGTAACTGATGGCAAGCCTGCATTATGTGATGTGGTAATATAATATATAAAAAACAATTATATACACAGCCTTTGCGCCCTTCTGTTAAACACAAAGCGTCTGCAATTGAAACTGTGACAACACTTCGCAAGATAAGAACACACTTTCTTTTCTTCTATCGGACCTCAACGACACTCACTGTCCCAGTGCTATTAGAAAATAACACACACTGCTACTTGACTATCACCACATCACAACAAAACACCCTCACACTGACATTCTGCATACGACCATTTATAAATGGGACTGACTGAACTCAGGTTTTAAACTGTCAAAATACAGATTAGGCAGATCGGTGTGGTCACCTTGTTGTAAAAAGGTCAGCCCCCGCTTTTACTGAGCAAAGCAATTGTAACTGGAGTACTGTCTGTATCACACACGCTTGATATTTGCAGGACATCTTGTCTGGTCAACAAAGTTTCAGCAGTGTCACCAGTCTGCAGTCTGCTACTATTTTTAATTTTGTACTTTGTTTCGCTTTTTTGCACGCCCACTCGAGCTTTCTTATGAGCTCTCTCTTGACGAATGTGTCCAGTGAGGAGGGATAAACAGATAGAAAAATCATGCTTAAAGGTATACTATGCAGGGTTTTCCTAAAAACAATGTACAGACTCATACATAAGTGTGTGACGGTGTATTTATCGGCAGAGATTCTACCCTCTGCCTCTATTTTTTTATTTTCTGTGTTTGAGACATTCCTGGGCATATTGCGCAGGTGAGGTTGGATTTTATAAAGAGGTAGCAGCCAGCTGCCAGACCATGAGCAGCACACATCCAAGAGGAAGCCACAAAAATTGCACACATCGTGGCAAAAAATGCAAATACAGCAAGGTGAAACGCCAAGCGAACAAAGCTGGGGTTGATATCAAGTTGGAAATTATAACAAGAAGTAATAACAATAGACTGTAATAAACTGAATTTCCCCAGTAATGGATTATTAAAATACTTCTTCTGTTAAGTAATCATTACAGAACTGACACTGATGAAGCATTTTTCATACACCCTCGAATGAGAACAAGTACCCCAAAGTCTCATGCCCTCACCTCAGCAGGCATGTGCATGAGCAGCACTGCAGCCACTGGAGCCTGGGCCTGGCAGTAGCCCTCGTCAGGCTTGTAGATGGTGTAGGCCTTCAGGATACGGTACAGATCCTGTTGCCTGCAGGAACAAACAACAAATTATCTGGTGGCCAAATCCACCAAAACGCTTCAGCAGTTCATGCTCCTCCTGTTGACTCATTAAGGGAACCATGCAAATCAAACTAATGGGTATCCAGGGGAGAAACAGAATGCAGACAAGTGCCTCTGAAAACACTTTGAAATAAAAAAAAAAAATTGACACTCATTTCAATCAGTTATCTTCTAAACGAAAACATATGATTAAATTTTTAAAACATACCATGATTATATATATATTGCATAAATATCCTCTATTGTTATCATTTTCTATATCAAATTGATGGAATTATTCATTGTTCATTGTTCTATCGAATTTACACAATTTTCTTGGTTGTATCCTGTAATCTGTTACTCCAGCTCCACTTTTCCCATGGGAATATGTTTATTTACTGACAGATATATGCACATTGGTACAATTGCCAGGCTGTTACAAATCAATTTGACAAGACACTGACCTCATAAAGATCCACCATGGATCAAACATTGTTTGTCCATGGTTACATAAAATTTAAGGATTGCAGTCAGTGTGCAGGTTTTACTCTAATCAATCATGTGTGTTTATTCTGATGTAAAACAGAATGAGGTTGTGTGTGCTTGTTTTGTTTTTTTACCCATGGCCACCACGAGCAGCAAACATCTCATGGAAGGGGAACTGTCTGTGGAGATCCTTCTCTATAATGTCCAGCCATTTAGCCTCTCCCTGCTCTCTCTCCAGCTCCTGCAGTTAAAAAAACATAGATACAAGTTTCAGAAAAGTTCTCATTAGCTCCTGGAGTCGGTCTCTAAATTAGCCATCAAAGTGGATTAGACTGCAAAGTCCTATATAAAACCACATCTGAGAGTCTTCTTAAGACAACACAAACAACACTAAGCAGACTGCTGAGACCCAGGCCCGGCCAAGGCCAGACCCCCCTCCGGCGTGGACACAGAGGAGGCAAGGCAGGCAGGATTACCGGTCCTGATAAGACGCTTACGGCCCACTAGGTCTGCGCCTGCGCCCCTTCAGCACCCCCGGAGTTGGAATTGCCCTACTCAGCCACAAATTCCCATTACAGTGGTCCACACTTTGAGCTAATCAGTCAAAGTACTGTGGCTTCTTCGCTATAATTAAAACATCGTCAACATCACACACAGACAGGTGACAAATTAAAAGAAAAACCTAAATAAATGAGTAGAGAAATGTAACAAATGCAGATGCTTCCACACAGATGCACTGCATGGTACAAGTACATAATTGCAGAATGCTAAAGCTGAGCTGAATCTCACATCACTGCTGAAAATGCAGAAATATGAAACAAAATGCCTGAAAAATCTGAAAGCTGCTGAAAAACTGAAAGCTGAACAATGTAAAAGTGGCAGAACTGTATTACCTTAAGAACCGAAGAGTTGAAATACATTGCTAAAAAAGCTGAGAGCTTAACTGTTATACTGTAAAAGCTGGAACCTGAAATGAATTGCCTGAAACAGCTGGAAAAGAAATTATTTTCTACTGATATCAGACACATGAACTGAGCTGAGAGCTGCAAAGCATTACTGAAGATGCAAAAATGTTAAATAAAATGCCAGAAGTGGAAACAAAACTATGTTAAGATAAAATAAGAATCCTTTATTGGTCCCACAGTGGCCACTTCCTTATCATCATTTCATACACGCCTAATTTAGTTCAATTTAAGTCTGTTAAATAGACTACTGTGGTTGTCCTCTGAGCTTCTGTTAAAGGTCTGGGGCTTCAGTGTGCCTACCAGTAAGCAGATGTCTATATTTGTGTATGGCAGAGGTAATTTTTGAACTATGTACTGCCCTGCAAAAAAAAAAAAAAAAAAAAAAATGCTGAAGAGTTGCCCCCTCTTTTCACACAAATTCAGTTGGATGAGCTAGGCCCAACTCACTGTCTCTGAGTCCACCCAGTTTATATTCAATCACTGGGGGCTTTTACTTTGAAAAATGTCAGTAAAAATCCCCCACAAAGATACACACATCCACACACATTTGTATGATGTATGTATGTATGTACAGTGTATTATTATACACTAGAAGTTTTTAGACTACAGAAAGGCAAGGGTAAACGATAGTGACTAAAAAGGGATTGTTACTCTCACAAAATTCTCTTGCATTTTGTTTTTAACATTTTTCCTCTTTTCCCCTTTTTGTCTCAAATACAAGGGGGCCTGACTGTGTGTGATGAACTGTACTTGCATATTGGTCTGTGTGAATTGATGACGGCATCCTGACCCGCATGTTTTTCTTATACCTTTTAGCCTCTTTCTTAAATTTTAAAATGTTATTTAAAAAATGAAGTTTAAAAAAAGACAACGCGGTCACGGGGATACCTCAAATTTTCCATGGTTTGCTTCTAGCAGCTCTTGGCTGTTGGACAGCAGCTGCCAGGCTTTGGCTCTGAGAGAAGATGGAATCCCCTTCCTGCAGCGCAACTTCACCTAAAAGGCACAAAAAGACACATGGGGTAATTTAACTTTGGCATTATGCCAGGTATTACCAGTCCAAGTACATCTAAAACACATCCAAACACATCTGAAAGGCTGACATTCATACCTTCTGGAAGCGATGTTTGACCCATTTATCCCAGTGGTGGAACATGTCGAGCCATTTTACCTCCCTCTGCCTGGCGACTTCAACTCGAACTTCCTTTTCACTGTAAAAGTGAGTAATATAAGATGACTCCATCATTGACAGAACTGGGAAGTGCTCTTTTTCTTTTCACACTCAGATATGTTTAGAAGTTTGTAACTCTAATCTAATGGCACAAATAAATTACCTCACTTTCTCTCTCACATTTATTTGCACAACATTACGCTGTATTGCTCAAATACAGAACATGCTAATTCACCAGAATGCACTGCCTCTACTGATTGTAAATCAATACATTCTTAATTATTCAACAGTGGAAGAGCAATTAGCTTGTCAGAAAAGTAGAAGCAAATCTGACAGAAAAGAGAGGAAGAGCGCAGATGGGCATGAGAGGTGATACCACAGAGACACACAGTCAGTACATATTGAGTCACAGAAACGCTGTCAGCATTATCTGAGTCAGACCAAGGGGAGATAAAGGATGGATGGATATGTTTAGAGCAGCAGAGAAGAAGAGGAAGAAAGAAAAGAGAGGGTCAAACTGAGAAAAGAGGACTATCTCTTTGGGGCAGATGGATGACAGAGTGAATAAGATGTTCAGGGAGGGCAAAGTGACCGATTAAAAGGAAGATAGGCAGGATTTACATTTATCTGTATAAGCCAATTCTCTGGCCATAATCTAATGATGTCTCAAATTACAAATATTGAGCTGTCTGCATGGAACCTTAAAAAAAGAGAAGTGTCTATTTTCCCTCATTCAACCGCCGTACTGAATATGCATCTTTAAGTTCAGAATATCTTAGATCTATATGGTAGACATAATGAAATCACACAGTGATCAATATTTTGCACAGTGGACGGGGGTTGTGACTAATTAATTAATGTTCTAATACTTACCCGCTTTCACTGTACTGATTCCCACCAAGGAAGCCATATTTATCAGTGCGTCTGACAGCCATGCCATTGATCTCTGAGTCTGAGCCCACAGAGCTACCATCCTCTCCAAGCCCAGATAGAGACTCCAATGTCCCCGACATCAGGCTGGCTGACTCTAGGTAGCTAAGGGTGTCAGGAGCTGGCCGTGGGTTGGGGTTGGGTAGCGGGAGGGCAGAAGCTGGCTCGTGGATCAGTGGGACAGTAGGGCTGGGGTGTTCAGCTCTGGTGGGGGTGCTGGGCAGTTCTGCTTTCTTTACGTCACTGGGAGTGTCAGGTTTTGGGGAGAGAGGAGGAGGCTGACTTTGAGGGGTTTGTGCTTGTTGAAGTGGCTGAGGTTTCTCCTCTTCAGCTGTTGCTGCCGAATCTGCGGTAGCTGGCGGAGCAGGCATGGGAATGGAAGCTGTATTGATCTGGGGTTGGCCCGCTGTAAACTGACCATCATCCATGACAGGATTTGGATTGTGGGTGACGTGCACATTGGGGTAGAGATTAGGACCAGGATTGAGATCAGGAGAGGGGGATGCCTGTTGCACTTCACTCTGAGCTGATGGCTTACTTGACAGTGCTGGACTCTCTGTTTCAGTATTCAAGAGCTCTGCAGCTGGTGTGTCACTGGTCATTGCTTCCTGCTTAACAACATTAGCTCCAGTCTCTGTATCTTTCCCTGCTGATTCCTCTCTCAGAGGAGCAACCTCGTGTACCAATAATGTAAGGGGTGTCTCAGCAGTGAGTTTGGGAGGACTCAAAGGTGGGTGGGATGTCACAGGTGAACTCCCTGACTGTGCTGTAGGAGTGTTTCCAGTTAAAGCTTTGTCATTGTAGAGGGAAGACTTGGGTGTAGGCATCTCCCTGATAGACTCTGGAGCAGGGCTGTTGGTAGCAGGGAGTGCTGACGAGGACGGAGGGATGGATGGAGCTGCATGAGGATCACCCAATGCAGGTGGTGATGGGGTTAAGGTCGAGAGTTCAGCCATGGTTCCAATCTGATCTCTCCTTTACAAACAGAGAGAAAATGATGGAGCTGAGTCTATTTTGCCAAAAAAAAAAAGCAGCTATCAGTTCAGTCATAACAATTGTCTGAAATAAAATCTGCAGCTTGGATCATAAATAGTGTCTTTAATAGTGGATAGAGTTGCAACTCTGTCAAGTTTGAGGGTCAACACCTGAGGCAAAAGATGACTAATATTGTCTATGAATAAACAGACTTACAGCCATTTGCTATAAAGCACTAGCAAAGAGTTCATCTTCTTAAAACTTGATGAGATAATTGGATTGAAAAAGCAGTGAACCATATTTATAAATCATGGAAATTCTTGGGAGACTGTGCAAACATACACCACCTTATAACACCAATCCACTTTCAGCCTTAATTGGTTACAGTTAGTATTTACTGAATGTTATGTGTTTTGAATTACTTGCAACTCAAAATGTGACATTTTGGTATATCATTACTGTACATAGTAATGCTTGCAGCCATAAATGTCTCGAGCTATATTTACTCTTTTGCTACACAAGCGCCTGTATCACAAAGTAAAAATGATTTTACAAAATTATTACATTTACAACAATTATAATACCCCGCTTTAACACAATTTCACTTCATGAGCGGGCTAGCCAGGCTGACAAAAACATTTCTGTTGACAGTCTAGCTGCATAAATTGTTTTTTGGTAGTGATGTAATAGTGCAATGACATGTAACTAACGTTATCAACAAAGCGCCCCCGACAATCACAGTGATCTTGTATTTTGCTGATGAAGCAGGTTAACGTTTGTAGTGGTTGTTCCAGACAGCTATGGTTACATGCTAGCCGCTTATAACACCAGCCACTTTGTTGTCATATCCTCTCTAGAGGCCTCTCTCGAAGCGACTCAACTTCCCGATTCATCACACAGGAGCAACGGTTCTCTAATGGCTAATAGTCAACACCCTCCCTGCCTGCCAGGCCCTGGCCGTACAGCGTCCACGGCCTTGTTCATCCCGCTGCCCCGGTCAACTACAACTTCAGCTCCGCTGCTTAACTCACCCACGACCGGCGTGTCACCGTGATCCGTCCGCCTGGAGAGCCAGGGGGTTCCTATCCGTACGACGCCCCCGCCACAGCTCCGGTTCCGCAACCTCCTCCGTGAAATGACAACACGAAAGAGCGAGACCGGGACAGGAACCGCTGAACAGGCTGAGGACCTGGAAGAGCAAACGTCCCACAATCGGCGAGCTAGCTAGCCAAGTTACCAGCTAGCCAAGTTAGCTTATTTTAGCCTAATTAGCATTAGCGCCGATAGTGTTCTGTTTCTGTTAGCCTAGCTTGCTAGCTGAATGTTTCGGTTACCTCCGCTACACATGTGGGCTCACTGCGACCACTCTTGCCAGATTCGAGCAACCCTCTTAGTGATAGTTATCATTCCGAAACAAAAAGGACTTTCTTTGTTTCATTTATCCAAGCACAGCGGCAGAGGTACGTCCAACACCAGCAGCCTGCATTTCCTACTGACAGCTACGTGCGTGTTCTCGTCATTGTCGTCGGGAACACGCACGCACACGCACAGGAGCCTCCCTTACACAGCAGAAAAAGTATATTGTACATTATAGGCCTACTGCATTAAACATCAATGCTTCTTGGCATAAGTGTTTTTTTAAATTATTTTTTAATCAAATAGGGTTATTTGTAAAGCACTCTTAACGTACTTTTTAAAATAAGAAATCAATAACCAAGAAGTTAGTAAAAAGGAGAGAAGAACAAATAATTCCCAAGTTAAATTAATAATGTGAGGGTAAATAAATACACCCTATTTATAAAAACTAAGATTTTCCTTTTCTTTTTATTTATTAAGTTTTATTTAATTAAACCAAGGAACATAAGGCAGATTCTATATGCAAAGGATAATATACATACCAATAAGAAAAGAGCCAGGGGTATATCATATTAGACAAAAATACAAAACATACAAATATTGAGTGTCTTGATAATCTTTTTGTCAGTCGAATTAGAAAGTAGTTTCACATGTTGCTCAACATCCTTCAGGAAAACAACAAAATAAGGTGCTTGTTGCTAAATGTACATTTATAGATAAAAAAAAATGCCAGGAAACCAATCATCACATTTACAATAATAACGCTAGTCTTTAAAGATATGGTCAATGATCTGGAAATTATTATCAAATTATTAGTCATTCCGAAGTGTTTTACTTAGTTGATATGTTGTCGTTACACCAGTAGATGGCGCAATCGGTTTAATTACAAGCAACCTTGAAGCTTCAGAGTTGGTTGCTCCTCCAAAGTATATTTATTAAACACACGCAGGCATGCTTACAGTTGTTTGATAATTGTTTGTATCAGACCAACCATATCTATCATATTATGCAGTATTCAACATTATACTGTAGGCATATGTTGGAAGGCAAATCAGTGGTACTTTCAAGTTGTGTTGCTTTGTTTGGGGGAAGCCATCAGGAGTTCTTTGTGGGGATTATGAGTCATTCTCTACTTTTCATTTCACACTAGTATGCATGTGATTGTTGTGAGGATTGCCATGGCAAACCACAGGAATGGGGGACACCCAGAAATGTTGTAACAGTGTCAAAGATATTCTACAAGGGAACTCCCATATACTTTGTCTTGCTTGTACAAATGCTATCCAGCTGGTTGTCATAGTCTGACAACAAGTTTCCACAAGAGTTTAGGGAGAGAGTGGGCCCTTAGCACTGTGGGTAAACAAAGTTTATCGTCTCCATAGAAATCCAGAGGCGGAGAACTACCATTAGCCATGAGGATATGGTGAGGACACACACTGGAATGAAACCAATGACTTAAAATCATGAATCAGGTCTCCAGGCTGTGCAGACTTCCATTATGAGGTGCACTGTATATCATCATAAAATATATAAATGACATTAGTTATGGAAAGAAAATGCAGTCTCTAATGTGAATCAAGTGCAAAATCACAACAAAAAAGCCAGGTTAAAATATATTAAATAATCTTTATTAAAAATTACAAAAAGATAACAAATGTGATACATTTCATCGACAATATAATTGTAAAAATATTTAAATTATGCAACATAAAACATTGCTATCGGCAATATATATTACTACAATATGTCAATATAAAGTCCAGTAAATGCTTGTAAATTGCGTTTACATTTGTCATAATTTACATAACTACAAATACTGATGTTAGAAAATCTCCGATGTAGACATTTATTATCTAAATTCTACAGTACATTCTTAAAAAAACAACGATCCCCTGGCTACTGTACCACATGAGCTGATATCAATGGAATTCAATAATAAATCATTCTTAAATGGCACTAAATTAACTAATGTGCTCCACCTGAACAAATGTTGTCATTATGTTTCCTTTATAAGTGAGCAAAAATACTAAGACTTAAACAGATACAACAATGAATCTTTTTAATACTGTAAAACAGTTTGTTTTTCATTGTTTTACTGTCACTTAACAGCAGGTTAGTCCACACACTGTGTATCTGGAGTCCTGCGTGTGTGTTTAGCAGCTTCTGATGCCTGTTGCAGTAGTCACATTAGGAGTTTTTGGGGTCTTCCAGAGGGAATGTGTCAACCCATTTCTGTGTGCGGGCTCGGCATTGTTCCCAGTCGTACAGAGGGCGGTACTGGAAGTGGCGCTGGGCTTTGTCTGTGCTGACAGTGAAGGAGGTACTAGCTATGGCCAAGGTGTAACTGTTGAGCAACGGAGTGTAGTTGTACAAGGGGCTCAGTATCCAGCGAAGCACATCATTAAACATGGCGAGGAACCAGATCACCAGTGAGGGCATGCGGACCCTTCGGAACTTAAATGTTGAGAGGAACTGCATGTTGAAATCCTCGTAGTTCTTGTAGGGTGAGTCATCATAGCAGAAGAAAGCTTCACCTCCAACTGTCTGCGGACGCTCTCTCAGGGCTTGGGCTGCAAGTATATGCATCCACGCCACATTGCCTAGAAACACAAGAAGTGGGGGATTACCACACTGAATGATGTAACTCACACTCAAAACATTTATCTTGATGATGATGATGTCAGTATGAAGATTGATCCTCAATTTCACCTGTTACTTTACAGCCTTACATGTCTTTTTACAAACACTTTCATCGCCTTCATTGGAACTTGTGTTTTATAGAGTTCTTAAAAATAACATTTGCTATTAGAAACTAAATTTATGGCTGACACCAAATACTTTATTAGTTTAAGAGACTGAATTAATCCTGTCACGGCCACATTATTGATGTATGAGCATGTACCTGCTATATGTTAGTTATCAACTTGGAGGTTTACCCAACAACACCAGTGTTTTATGCCATTAATCAAAGCTGAATATAAAATCATAATCTTCACTTGAAAGACGCACTGTGTAGGATTTAGTGGCATCTAGCGATGAGATGGCAGATTGCAACCAACTGAATACGCCTCCTCTCACCCCTCCCTTTCCAAGCGTGATGTAGAATCATAGATTGTGCCATAAAGATGGATGACATAACAACTCCCTAAAAGTGAAGCCAAAACATCTCAATTGCCCCCTGGTGGCTGGCTGCAGTACAGGCCTTATCACGTTGATGTTTAATTAGTTATTTGATGCTATAAAAAGGGGGTTTGGCGTCATGACTAACAGCTGTATGTGCTCACAGTCAGCGGTGCTTTTTGCAATTGGTCGGGCAGTGGGAACTCAGAGATGGCTACTGTGCAGACTCTGGCTCCAAATTACGTCATCAGCACAGGATGTCAGCAGCCATAGGACATTTTGGCTTTATTTTTGTACAGCGGGAGGAAGTGGAGATGCGTTGTCCATCTTTATATACAGTCATTGAAAAGCCCTCATTGAAAAACATAAGAAGCCCTCTATATCCCTATGTAGATATGAAAGGCTCGTTCTAAGATAACGATAACACAGTAATTCTTAGTTTTAGGGGATTATACACTAATGAAAACATAATTATGATTATTATATTCCATTCTACCAATAGATGCCTCTAAATCTTACATGCTGCATCTTTAACTAGTGACATAAAAGCTAGTGGTGTGAAAGAGACAATACTTCCCTTACATCAAAATTCTATGCAAGTACAACTCGTGAGAAAAAATTGCTTGGTTGCTTCACACCTGTGACCACATTACACTGACATCATCCATAACGTAAGCTGAGCTCATGCTACCAATTACAAAACATCTACAGTGTCTAATGTTCTAATAGTGAACTTGCATCCTTGACATTTATCAGCTGTAGATCCTTCTCATGTTCCAGTTCTGTCACATCAGCATCTGCTCGATTTCTACAAATGTCATCCTGTGACACTCGATGACTGTGAGTCATTCTCATGTACACGAGTTGTGGTTACTAATACGGTCACAAGCAACAGCTGATACCATGAGTGAATAACAAAACCCCACTCATCAGCACTGAAACCGGCATGTTGAAGCTGTTCTAAAAATGTCATCATTATTTGTGGAAGGAGATTTATTGAATGACATGTTCACATGACCATGAAGATTTATGATGTGCTGTACTATTCACATGCTATTGTTATCACAACCAAGAAATCTGGATTGAATTATCCTTATTGTTCAAGTTCATCATGTTGTACAATCTGTCTTTTGATGTTATCTTGCTTGTGCCTTTAACTGACTGACGAGCAGCTGTTGAGGAGTCAGCTGAAGAGAGCATCATGACTGGTGGCACTGTAAAACTTAAGTCAAAATAAGGACACTTCCTGTGAAATGCAGAGGAAGTACTTTTGCAGTACAACTGCACTTCTGCTTTGGTCCTGGTTTAGCATAGGTCATGCTATTCTTTACTCTGGTTCTCCTTTGCAGCTTGGTTTACACGCCTTGGTTGTCAGAGTTAAAAACAGAACAGAGGCTGCTCGGGATTTTCAGGCTTCATTGGTTCACTGACGTGTCTTTAAGGTTGTGATTATGACTAAAAAACAGTAATTTTACCTGCATAGACCCGTCCATGTTCAGAGTCTTCTGGGACACCCCCGATTACCAAGCCTCCCCTTTGTACACTTTGCTTGTAGAAATCCTTAATTAGCTCGTGCCCCTCGCCATAGATCCCCGTCGGCCTCAAAGAGCATGTGTATAAACACTTCCCACCCTTCACCTGGAGGGGAGACAAAACCAGGTTTCAGCGTTGGGAAATCAGACAGGAGGCGTACAAGAAAAAAAAACATACACAGAGCAGTCCGAGGGTAAATTTTTGTGGATTTTGAGAGTAAACAGCAGGAGTGACCCCACGGGGTAGCCACAAGAGGATGATCTAGAATTTTGTGGCAAAGTTGCACAAGAAATTTCCTCATAAAGTTTTTCTAGGCTTAACAGCAAACAACATCCACAGCTTTCAGATTGTGTAACCCAGTCTTAAGCTAAGACAATACAGTATAAAATCTAGTCAGCATTTTAGTACTCAGTAATGTTCAGCAGTAAACATAATACACATATCTGGATGCCAATAAAAACATTTATTCTACATCAGTACCTTTTATCAATTCCATTGCATCACTATGGTTTTATTATTTCTTCTTTAGTTTTCTAAGTGTGTCTGTAAAGTTAAAATGTGCTTTCAATAAATCTGCCTCAATGAAACCACTTGAAGCAACAACTATTTATTTATGAAATGTGTATTGTTGGACATAAAGTACCTTGGTGCCATTAGCTTCAAGCACGATTTTCTCTGCTTTTGCCTTGCTCTTAGGATAGGCCATAGTGTGCTTCACTTGGTAGGGTGTGTCTTCATTTCCCCTGTGGACAAAGAGTCAAACGGTCAGAGGAGGACTTAGGAGAAAGTAAGCAGGTAATGTTTTCTTGACCTTTCAGTATGTGTGAGAGGAATGTGGCTGAACAGACGGAGAGAGGATTTAAACACAGTGAGGGAGAGAGAGATAGAGAGGAAAAAATGAGCAGTCAGTCTTTCCAACAAGAACAGACCAGGATTCATTCTTTTACTCTGACTCCTCTGAAAGAGAGACTGCCAAATTTTGTTCTGAGCTACAGCTGTAGCCATGAACTATATGTACAAACCCAAAGAACAAACACATATACACACACGCACACGCACACGCACACACACACACACACACACACACACACACACACACACACACACACACACAGGCAGAAATGTGCAAACACACACACATCTGGAGGAATGTTAGGATTCACTCTAATAGCAGAAAGACAGAGTTTGCCACTGCAAGTATTTTTTCCATCTCCTGCCTTTAGCATTCAGGATCCACATCACAATTACTACTAATCATGTATATTTTGATTTACCATACTGCTAACCAGAGGTGTGGACTCGAGTCACATGACATGGACTTGAGTCGGACATGAGTTAAAAATCTAATGACTTTGCACTCAACTTGACAAAGTAAGAAAAAAGGCTTGCAAGTCAACTTGGACTTTTATACCAATGACTCATGTATTTACTTGAACTTGAGCCTTTTGGTTTAAAAGAACCTAGGCTAATATTAACATAGCTAGCGAGCAACTGCTTAGCTAATGTGATTACTCTGTTGTTAACATAGCATTACACTTGGTGAATGGTGCATTATGACTTGTTTGGGAAGTGAAGGCCAAAGTTAAGGACTTAGAACTTGTCTGTCTTGACTTGGGACTTAAGTGCGAAGACTTGAGACTTACTTGTAACTTGCAAAACAACTACTTGGTCCCACCTCTGTTGCTAACCGGCTTTCAAAAGTTACATTTGCATTTTAGATTTTTCAGTGTGTTTAGCTGTTGGCTCCCATTGAAAATCAAATTTCAGATTTCAGATTCAGATTCAGACACATGAAACATCATTAATGTTTGATAGAGATATACAGATATATGTATTTTTTTCTAATCATGCCTCTGCACCAGGATATAGATGTACTTACAGTAACACACAATAACGCACAACAATTTTTACATGCATAGAAATAGACATACAGCTAAAAAAAAGGCAGCTGGGAATAGTCTCACAGTGTATGTTTACACTATTCCGGTACCTATACTAAATAAGCACAGTGCCTGGAGACAGAATGACAGTGTCAAATAGTCATGTGGCTCTGACTCACTCCTGATGAATGAACTCTTCTTGTTTGTCATCTCTGTTTTCATTTATTGCACAGCTGTTTTTGTCGCGGTTGTCATGCATCCTTGCGCAAAAATATTTTTTAAAATGTCCTGACAAGTGGTTAAGTGCATTTTGAGTTAAAGATGCAGACATGTTGCTGGCTGCACAGCTGCCTTACGTAATGTGCGTCTGAAAAACCAGACAGTCACATGCAAAACATCAGAGAGTAATAGCGTAACAGTAAGATAAAGAGAACTGTGGATGGTAGTTCTTGTTCAATGTCTTTTCATCCCAGATTCTATCTGGAGGACTTTAAAAGAAACCCTTGAAAATACCACTAGGGCAGTAGATTCTGTGTGTTGTGTACTTTTGTGTCCACCCGATCATATCTTTTCTGTACAGGCCTTATGTTTTCCATGATGGTGCATTCAAGATACACATAATAAGAGAAAAGATAGAAGATAGCGACCACAGAAATGTAACTGAAAGAGCCATGGCGCAATTTGAGAGTGTAAGAGCCAAAGCAAAAATGTGTAAGAGCCAAAGCTTGAGAGTATGAAGTGCACCCATGTGTTCCCAGTGAGGACACACTTGGACGTGCACACTGGATAACTCTTAGCTTAGAAATGAGTCAACACAGAATTACATTTTTTAAACCTTCACCTGACAAAGTGGTCTCCGTTGATGTTGGGCCCAATCACTTCCATGCTGCTGGTATAGATCAGGCACTGGATGCCACACTCCACACATGCGTTGATCACATTCTCTGTTCCTGAGAAGAGAGAAAATATAGTCATTTAAGAGATGGAGAATAGGTTGACTGAATTTACTGAGTATCACAAAAGCTTGTCCATCCTCCAAAGCCACAGGAATGACTTTGACACAGTTGGATTTCTTCAGTAAGCTGCAGTCAGCCAGTTTTGAAAGACTTAAATCACGCAATAACAGGAAGAGCATGAAAGTCTTGAAATCATAATTGGATGCATACGTACAGAGTCAACAGAACATAATGCAACAGAGCCATGAGATCCATATGTGTTATATTTAGCTGATAGAAAGCAAACATGTTTTTCTAAAACCTGTTTTTTGTTATGTAACAGTGGACGTGCAGTGGCCATTGCAAAGTGGAGGAAATAAGACCTCTTTTTGTTGTATTTAATACTTTTCAGGTCTTTCTAGTTTTCCATAGTGAGACTTTTTTAGGCCTTTGACCTTTGGTCGTAGACTGAGCAGAGGAGAAGAGGACACACTCCACAGGCTGCACAGTTGCATCTGTTCCAGTTTTCCAGAGGATCAAAACAATTCCTGATGAGACTGTGCTAAAATATGCGCTTTAAAGAGGAAGCCAAGTTACCCAGATGACAGAAAATGTAAGATCGCCTTGACTGTTACAGAAATAAAATTAAGAAATACAGAAATATATAGCACCTATCTAAAAGCATTACATATATTTAACATAATCAATCAATACGTCAACTGAATTGCAGCCTTTGCAGCTATAAAAAGGCCTTATTAAAGTGCTTCTTAAGTAGACATTTGAAAAATAAAACTGGTCTAGCAGGCTCTGATGGTTCAAATTCAGTAAACATCTGTTTTCAGGAGTGGCGGGCGTGAAGATCTGAGGCCACATGCTGGCACACAAGTGGGTTAAAATCCCTGGTATGTACTAAATCTGAAGGCCAGAAAGCACAGGGCATCTTACGTCATCAGTAAAATCAATTCTAACTGGGAACCAAAGTCTAGATAATGTTCTCAACTCCACTACTGACAGGATTAGAGGGAGTTAACATGAAACCCTGTTGAGACAAACACAGGGGAAATAATATCGAATTCTTGTCATATTTGTCTGCCAGAGGAATCTAGACTGGACCTTCAGAATCAAACCACTCCCTCTGTTCCTTGACTTCATGCAAGACCACAGACTTTAATTCTGTGGCGGTTTGATAACATTAGTTTAAAATTAAACCCTATTTAGCTGATGATGTTCTGGCACTTCAACCCATTAACAACCTCTAGACGGATATTTGTAAATTATTTATTCAGTTTCCAAGCAAGTTGCTAGAACTGAATAAATAATTTACAAGTCCTCCTGTTTGGGAGGAACTGTTTAAAAAGCCCACGACTCACAACAAAGTGTGTTTTGTCTATTTGCTGAATCACTGCAGACTACTAAAGGCCAGACATTGACCTTAACCTCAACACAACCCACAAACATCATGATGCTCTCACCATGTTCCCAGTTTAGTCACATAAAGCTCATTGTCACAAAGATCCATGAATTTGTACAATTAAGTCACAGTATTTCCTGTACACATTTTAAAGAATAAGTCTAACAATATTCAGGAAATATAGGAAATTGTTTTGGCTTTATGTTATTAAATGAAAGCATATATTTGTGACCTTTCTTTAAAGATTTACATTTCAAGTAGGAACTGGTGGGCATGGGACTGAAGGCCACAGACAATCTGAGGAAATCAGAAAGTCCTGAGAGAAGGACTAATCATGGGCGGATTATGAGACAATGGGCCCCTGGGCACAGACATGCAAAAGGCCCCACCACCTCAACATAGGAGCAAAACACACAGACTTTGTAGTGGTTTTGTGTCTCTTTTGAGTTGTGTTGTGTCCCTTTGTGGAAATTTTGTGGTCATTTTGAGTCTTTTTGTGGTAGTTTTGTATCTCTTTGGGGGGGTTGTGTATCTTTGTTTTTTTGGGTTGTTTTTGTGTGTCTCCTTGTGGTCATTTTTAGTCTCTCCCTGATTGATTCAGATTCAGATTCAGTTTTATTTGTGTCCCCGTAGGGCAATTAGTGTTGCAGCAAGTAAAAAAAGACATAAAAAATGTACAAGACATACAATTAAAAGTCTAAGAGGGGGGGATAATACAGTGTGCTGAAACAACATCAGCAGCAGTGACTCAAATAGCCCATACAAGATAGGGAAAGATACATTACATTTTGTAGCTGAAGGCCTGGGGGCCCCCTTACACTCTGGGCCCCTAGGCCTGTGCCCACTAAGCCCGTTGAATAATCCATTCATGGGGCTAATGCATTGTTGGGGGTTGTGTTTTTCCATTGGATTTGCTGACACCTGACAGCTGATACCTAGATATGTTATCAGCAGCCTTTTCCTTTAAATACATCACCATAAAGTTCAATAGCCGTAAACCAAACAATCTAAATGTAGTGATGCAAATAAATTAAACTACCTCTGTGATCATTTCTTCAGTATTTCAATACCATTTGTTTGTGTTGTAGTTGTTGTAGTGAATTGTATTATACAGAAAGCAGTTTATGTTATTTTGTTTGGTTCAATACAACATGCCTGGCTAACAATGGCCAATATTGTCTCAATAGTCAGTACAACATAATTATGGCCAACATTTTTTAAACCATGAATGAAGTCACGTCCTTGAAAACTATCCAAAACAGGAGAGGGTGTGGGTTTCCTCTGTTTTTTTGGTTTCTCACAGTAAAACATTCATTAAACTGAATCACCCACTGACGCTTCCTCCCCATCCCTTTTCCCTGTTATCACACGAACCACCACTCCCTTGAAGTCTCACCTGTGACGTTGACAGAGAAGATGAGTGTCTCTGGGATTTTGTGCCAAACGTCTACCAAGCTGGCTGAGTGGATGACGACATCGGCCCCTCGGGAGGCCTCCAGAACACTGCTGTAGTCTGTGATGTCCCCCTGTATCACCACCACCTTTGTTTGCTCTGTGGGTGAAACAGGAAGACATTTTATCTGTCTGGTCCTGCAGCAGGGATGCTTTCCTAAGAACCCAACAAAGGCTGGCAAGAGATTCCTCACTCTGTTTACGGATAACATAACTTTCTTTTGTTTGGCATAAGACAAACACTGCCTTTCTTCAGCAACAACTATTTGTGTCATACTGCAGATTATCTGGATCATCTTTCCACAAGCTCTTTTCTGTCATTGTAAATGTAATTCTATTTCAAGTAAGAAAGGTTACCAGGTAATTAAAAACCTGACACATTCCCGGACTTTGTCACAAGACACAAGACAAACAGCTCCCTTGATAGAAACAATATCGCTAACTCTTTGCCAAATGACAAATTTAAATTATCTTTCAGTATATATCATGGCCACACCCAACTTGCCCTCACACTGGATGAATTCCTTGTGGGATTTCATGATGTTTTTCACTCAGGCACCAATGCTTATCATTTATGAATGTTGGCTTGACTTTGCTCTCACACACTGTCCTTGCAACACTTAACACTGATAGATAACAGGAAAAGACAAGAGTTTTGCTTACATGGAAAGGGGCCAGACCTTTGAACATGCAGTCAGAGATCCTGTTGCTATTCAGACTCTAAAGTTCGCAATCTAGACTGTCTGTAATTTTACTAATTACAGAGAAGCTTTTAATTACAGACGTTTCCACTAATTCAAGCCAGCCTAAATATCAACCAGATAAAACCACACACACAATTAAACGTATCCTTTTCTGTGGGGCCTGCACTGGGTGTTAGTGAGACTGAGCTCTCCTGTTACTGTTAGCTGATCTTTTTGGGGCCCAATCTAACAACAGCATGCCTCAGCACTGGCTGACAATAAATAATGGAAGCTGAGCGAAGCAGATTCTACTGTGGATAGAGGCATCATTTGTGTTTTCAGTGCATTCCTGACGCTAACAAGGGACAAAGCTTTAAAAGAGCAGTTGTTGAATGTAACTTTCTATATTTCATGTAGCTTCTAGCATGCCTTCTCACCAGCAAAACACTCCTTGACCTTGATTCATTTTAATAGTTTGTTTCTTTCCCAGGAAGAAAAGACTAAACAGAAGCAGAAAGCATGCAGCCCACATCAGGTCACAGCACACCACAACTACAACACATCCCACATTTATGTAATACAAAAGTGATGACAGTAACTGTAAACGGCTATAGGTCGTGAACAGGACGCGTCAAATCACACAATGACAGGTTATAACATCATTATCCTGGCACAGGATATAGGGAAGTTGGCTATCCTGGATTCATAGCCCAGCTGTCATCTGCAGATCGACCCAGTGACCATTCAACATGTGAGGGAAATTATGTTGGGAGTTTTTCCATAGAGAGACACAATGTTCAGCTGTACTCAAACTTTCCAGTATCTCCTCTTACACTACTAAAAAAACTAATCCATTTATTAGGCCTATATGTTGCATAATGATTTACACCCTGGTGATCCATTCAAATAGCTGATGTGTTTGTTACCTGCTGGCTACGACCAAATAGCTAAACCTGCCCTCATCAGCACCATTTTCAGAGGGGAATAACCCAATAATGAAATCCATGTGGTAACTCCATAATATGTAGGTTCATCAGTATCCTGTCACAGTTAACTTCAGTCAAACATCCTATAGACTATCAGAGGGAAATGTAAGGAGAAAACATGCAAAGGAACACTGGAGGTAACTGGCCTTACACCAGAAACATACACAGAGAAAAGTTTCAATAAGCCAAGAACCAATGATGTTTTCTAAAATATGACAGAGATACTCTTTTATGAATTTTCAGACAATCTTCAAGCAGAAACGACAGATTGCGAATGCAGTTATAAAGACTGAAAATAAATGAGAGCAAGGGTTTTTCAAGGGTTACTGGCTTCGCTGATATTAGCTAAATCTTTAAATTATCAGAAACTGCGTCGCAACAACACCTTCAGGTCGTCTTACCTGTGCTGAGTCCATTCAAACTTGAATCTATGTGCTTGTCAAACACCCGGACCTCCGCCAGTTTGTCCTCCTTCTCCAGCAGGAGCCGCAGCAGATGCCTGCCGAGGAAGCCGCAGCCTCCGGTGAGCAGGTAGACGAGACCCCGCTGGTTTTCAGACATGTTGTGGAAGTGCTGTGCAGTGGGGACGTGCTCTGAGGCGATCTGTCACGTCTCTCTGTCACGTCTCTCTGTGAACGCTAAGCTCTGCACGGCAGCTTTAGGAGTAGGGGGAGGAGGAGGAGGAGAAGGAGGAGGAGGGCTTTTTTTTTGTAAACCTTTATTGTTGCAGACAGACGCACTTGCACGTAGAGAGCAGCAGTCAGTGCTGGTGCTGGTAAGTACATTTACGGAAGGTACTTATATTTTACCTGAGTATTTCCATTTTCTGCTACTAAATTCATCTACAATTCAGAGGGAAATGTGTATCTTTTACTATACTATATTTATTTTAAATGACCTTCCAGATTCAGGTTATAGTGAGATACAAAAATATAAATTATGATATAGGCCTACTTGTGGATACAGTTAAGACTCTATCCTTTGGTGACATTCACATGATAGGCTTTCCATCATAAAGTAAAAAAATAGCTCCACCTTTACCAGCTACAACACAAAAGCAATGTACATATTAATGCAAATTGTACTACAATTACACAGTGCAATATATTATTCTGATAAGAGTCACTCTGCACAATGAGTACTTTGATGCTAATACTTTTTTACTTCAGTTATATTTTGAGTGCAGGACTTTTACTTGTAACAGAGTATTTCTACACTGTGGTATTGCTACTTTTACCTAAGTTTACCATCTGAGTACTTCTAACAAGTCTGATAGCAGCACTAGAATTAGCAGTTAACATAAATCAGGGACATAATAAACAAAACAGTTTTTCTATTTTTGTTTTCTATATATATATATATATATATTTTATATTTTTTTATACACACACACCTGGTTACAATCCATTATTGATCATAACATCATAACAAAAGTAACAAACAAAAAATAAATGAAAGAAAGAAACATAAAATAATAAAATTGTTCCAACAGGGGTGGAATGCTATCACCTGATTATTTATCATTAAATAAAATAAAATATATTTTTGTCATTGAAATGAGCAAGGTTGTAATCACAAGGGTGTCTGAGTGGGATTACATTAGTTATAATACAAAATGATAAAGAGTAAATAATTATTGGATGGATTAAGCCTACAATGAATTGGTTCCAATTAGGCATATTTTAAAGAGGTTTTAAAGTTTTACTTAAAATATTTATGTTAATAAGTTATACATTTTGGTAATCCATTCATACATTTCCATAAGTTATTCACTTAAAACATATGTGTTAAAAATGCTCATCAATCCAGCTTAAACTGGTATCAAGGAGAACTTCTGCTTAAACTCACCTGACTGTTTTCATGTTAATGAAAACATATGTAAGCATTATGCATGATATTGTGGAGAGTGTGAATCTAGTTGAAGTATGATAATTGATGTTAAAACATTTCATTTAAGATGAAAAGCTGCTAATCTCAAAGCAGGTCAATGACAGAGTGATAAGCTTTGATTACAGTTTTCCAAATGAGAAAAACAAACCCAGTGTCATTCCTAAACATAGAGGCCTGCTGCATGTCATTTTGTAGGGCTTCGGCAGTGCTCCTCCTGTTTCTCCTCACACAAAGGAATAGATAACGGTCCTGCTGCTGGGTTGATGCCCTTTTACGGCCCTGTTCAGCTTTCCTCGTGTAATAGCATGGTCTCCTGTTATCTCCTCCATGCTCTTGAGACTGTGCTGGTAGACACAGCAAACCTTCTTGCAACCGTACATATGGATGTGCCATCCTGGATGAGCTGGACTGTCCCAACTGTCTGTGGTCACCTCATGCAAAACCACTCCCTTTTTGGGGGTTGTCTTGCTTTTGCCTCTCCATTGCATCTGCAGGTGAAACTGATTCACAATCACTTGTACTTCCTAAATGGACAGAGTGATATCCCTGAAGTTTAACTAACTTGGTGTTATACTGTGACCATTAAGTGTTCCCTTAAATGTTTGGAGCAGAGTGTAATACCCTGGTCTTAATCATATCTAAAAAACAAACAAACAGAACATTGGATAAATCAGCTTACTTAATATTGGGCAAAATGAACAGAGACGGACATGTTTCAGCTACAACGCGATCATCAGCGTGACAAAACAAGCAGGAATGACAAATTATATAACCAGGTGGGGTTAAGACAGAATGTAATTAATTGATAGGCTCCTGCTGTGAATGACTGACATGCCCCGCATTGGCCTCTCCCAAGTAGAGAAGGAAGGAGTGTCTATAGTAAAAGACTAAAAAGCAGGGCTTATTTTGGGATCCTTGCCATATTGTTCAAGATTGTGCAGGCTGCTGTTTGGCATGGTATTTAATCATATCTAACGATCAAATTGTTTTCAGATGGAGGTCCCTGAAGTAAGATCTTATCAAATGGGTGTGTGTGACTAAATGTGCATCATTTAAAGGGTCTTGAAACAAAAGACATTGACAACCACGAATATGAATATTAATAAAAATCCATTAATAATCATCAAGTCTGCAGTTGTTAAGTGTTACTAAATTGTTGATGAATAGATTCAGATTGTCTGCAGACCTTTTTAAGATAAGTGGTCAAACTAGATTTTTCACGACCTGGCAACCCAAAGGTTTTTCTTCATAATCAGTGATAAACTTTCTATAAAGCATCAGTAAATAATTTATTAACAATGTCAGTCCAAACATTATTGTCAATAATAAGCCACTGAATTTTTATACATACTAAAAAATATTTGACTGATATTAAACTTGGGTTTTGGCAGTATAGTAATCCACAAGTTAGACTAAATTTACTGATGTAGACTCTAATTTCACCCAATATCTAACCCTTATCTATGTTCTTGAAGTGTGCAGTTGAAATTCACTGTCAAGGCCATTACACACCATCGTATCAAGGTCACATGTTAACCAAAGAGGACTGGTCAAAGGGCAGTCTTTGTTTTTACTGTGTTGTATAACAAGGATTTTTATCAGTTTGCCCAACTTTGTAAAGCTCACTGTGGAGCCACAAAAGGCTCTACGCAATGTCTGTATGCAGGAATACCTGTAAACATACTGTGTATGAATTATATCAGCAGTTTTCCTTTGACTGATCTGATGTCTTTGTGCTGCTGTAAAATTTGAAAAATCTTACCTTCCCATTTCTATAATTCAGTCTGGAAGAGATCAAAACTACACACAGGTTGGATTTCATGGAACAACATCTTTCCATAGAAGGCAGTGTTTCATGTAGATAAGTTCAAAGGTTCTTGATGATATTATTTGGGAACAATTGCTGTCATCCCTGCAACAATAAGGCAATAAATTGTTGAAATGCTGAGCTCTATGGTTTGAATGTGACTAAAGCAATATCCTGCCATTCCAGCTTCAGCCAGCCTCCTTCTGACTAAGAGGGAAATCACATCTTACGTTCACCCACAAACAATTGAAGGCCTGCAAATCATACATGACAGAAATCAGCTGTACGTGCTTTACTGTTCTATTTTTTGTTGGAATGTTTGCAGTGTAAGTGAATGACATCAGCTGTCAGGAAGTAAGCAGTGACCCAAGCTGTTGACAAGCAATGCACTTCCAGTAAAACAGTCCATATAATTAGCAGGTTCTAAATAAAACTCCCCTCCCTGAAGGACTGGCAGTAGATGTGTCTTCTGGCCCAAATCAAAACTATGAATACCAGATGAAAACCGATATATTCCTGACAACTGCATTAACTGTAACAAAGGAAATGGAGCTGTGTTTATTTCTATGTGGGTATGTCAAAAACTCGTCCTGGAAATAAGTTCTTTCTAAATTGAGAGAAAGTGTTGTTCCTGTTGAAGCCAAAATAACTAAACTGGAATAGAAGATTTTCCAGTTAATGTTAAGAAAAACAGACAAATTTGTCAGTTGAGTAAATGTCCGATAAATCCTGTCCAGGTGTTAAGCACGGGGTTGTATCAGTCATGCTTTGGGCTTGTGTTGCAGCCAGTGGCATGGGGAACTTCTTACAGGAGGAAGGAAGAATGGATTCAGTTATATTCCAGCAAAGTCCTGGCTTCTACGATAGGACAATGATTCATAAACATGTTTTGAAATCCATAATGGACTACCTCAAGACACGCAAGTTGAAGGTTTTGCCTTGGCCCTCACAGTCCCCGACCTGAACATCATTATAAATCTGTGGATAGACCTCAAAAGTGCAGTGCATGAAGACGGCCCAAGAATCTCACTGAACTAGAAGACTTTTGGTAGGGAGGATTGGTGACAATTCCCCAAACAAGAACTGAAAGATTCTTAGCTGGCTACAAAAGGCATTTAGAAGCTGTGATACTTGCCAAAGGGGGCACTACCAAGCTCTGACCATGCAGGGTGCCCAAAATTTTGCTTCAGGTCCCTTTTGCGACTGTATGTGCATGTTGTTCTTGGTTTTTTTTCCTGCTCTCCTCTTATAGTGACTTGATATTTACACTTAATGTTATGTGTTTTGGAATCTTTTTACCAAGAATGTTGTGTTATTTGGGACAGGAGGGAGGGTCTTTGTTAATGTTTGTTATGTTTATTCAAAATGAACATAAAAGCCAATAAACTTGGTGTAGAAAAGGGTGAAGTGCTATTTTCAGGTCAGCTCAGTTCAGCTCTGGTAAAAAGTGCACCTTCATACCACCAATACCACTACAGCTGATTTCAACAGAATAACGTGTTAAGCAGAGCAGGGGCTTGCCAGATGTTCGTCAGCTTGAATTTTTTAAAAACTCGGGTCACCATCTGCGCAGTGAGCTTTCCAAATCTCCCTTTTCCTATCGTCATCTGGTGACTTATGAAATCCAGTCTTTGCGGGCCAGATTTCAGCACTTCCTCTCATTTCTCTAAACAGGAAATATCACAGTTGCAGGTGCACTGTCGGTGCTCATTTCAACTCTGTCAAGAAGGAAATGGGACTTTGTAGTTTCCGCTATGCAAGAAACTTCCTGTTGAACACATTTTATCAGCTAGTTATTTATAGGTACCTTCTATCTAGCACGTAAAAAATACTTGAGTTGTCTGATTCCTTCAGACACTGATGTCTACATAATCCTTCCACACTTGCTGAACCTCAGTAGAAGGACACAAAGTTATTGAAAAAACATGATGTTTCATTTGT